TCCTCCCTCACAAATCTCTCTTTTCTGTCACTTCTCTCTCTCTCCCGAGCTCCCATTTCTTCTTCTTCCTTCACGCTTGTACGGACAACACACATATCACCCAAACCTTGATGGATCGAAGGAACCAAGGGCATTTTTGGACTCGTGAAGCTCGTACGAGTGCAACCATACCATTTTCAGGTGAGAAATCCTTCGTTTTCATGTCGATTCGAGGTAGTCCGATTTAGGTACTATTCATGTAAACTTAAACTAGCATGTTTTTGGGATTTTTAAGCTTGTAGATGTCTTAGTGAGGTCCCAAGGAGCCTCGGAATACTTCGTTGGAGAAGTTTGGACGTCGGGATCATTATGGTCAAAGTTGGCCGGAGCTTTCGAGGCTTTTTCCGGCGAATCCACGGCGAGTTAGGGGTCAAGGCAGGTATGGATGTGTTCGTCTCGTCAATACCTTCATTTTGATATATAGTACGTCGAAAATGGTTAAGCAATGAAGAAGTTATGACACTTTGAAATTTACCCAGAAATTCCGGCAAAACACCAACTCCGGCGAAACCAGTCCGGCGACGTGAGGAAGAAGACGCGCGCGTGGGCAGCGCGTAGACGGGGCGCGTGGGGGCGCGTGCGTGGTCCAAATTGAGTTCTGAAAATTGTCACACGTTCGTGACGTCGTGTAGATCACCGTGGTATATTCACACACCCAAATCGAGCAACGTATGAGAAAGTTATTGACGAATGTTTGGTGCATGCGCGTTAAATAACGATAATTTGGTTACTTTTTATATAGGTGAAAATTATACAGAAGAAGAATGTAACCAATCTAGGGGAGGCTCAGGGACCCACGAGACGTCGATGTGATCAGTGAGTGGGCAATTATTTTTCAGTATATAAATATATACGTATGCTTGACGTATTTATCAGAAAACGTATTTTAAAAGAAATACGAATTAAATATCCTGTCATATATGCATCATATTTTAATATGTGCATTACCATAATTATGCATACTGTTGCATGGTGCTGAGGAGGCCCAGGTAAGCTACATTTGAAATACCTTGAAATACATTTGAGATACGTACGAAATACATTTGATATACGTACTAAATACATTTGATATACATATGAAATACGTTTGGAATACGATTGAAATACTATCATCACATGCATTAGTAGTGGCATACATTTATATATGCGTATTTGGTGCTATGGACGCACAGGTAAGTGCCAGGTAAGTGGTATTCATGTTTGTATTCAGTAGTAGCTTGAGATGCTTAGAGAGCTCATAATCTGCACCCCGGTGTTAGTGCTCCCGCCCGTGGCCAGGGCATAGCCTTCACGTGATGTTCACCTCCCGCACCACACGCTCAGCTTGGATCCAAGTTAGGTGCACAGCCTGTCGTACAGACCACATTAGGTGGTTCCGACTCGTAGGTGACCCGCGATTTATCGCACAGCTTCACGTGATTGTAGCACTAGAGCGTATATATATTTTACACCAAGCCTGTCGTACAGACCACGTTAGGTGGTTCCGACTCGTGTGCAGATTCAGTTATTGAGTTGAGATTGGAGCTCTATATGCAGCCGTACAGGTTACGTTAGGTGACTCCCGGCTGCCAGATTATATGTTATTAATATGAGTTATGCTTGAGCACTTACATTTCATTATGAGTTTCCGACATGGCATATTCTTGAGCATGTTTGGCATATCTATACATACGTATATATGTTTATTTTCTGGGAAAGTATACATGTTTTACAGAGAGGGGTTACAAAGTTTTGAGAAGTATTTGGACTTGGAAAAGATTTGTTTTACTGACCCACTCAATTTTGGTTTTGCGCCCATCCAGGTTCAAGAATTGCAAAGGTGTGGTGACTACGAGGAAATTCAACGGTGTTCTGACAGAATGGACCAAATGAGGACTCACTTTCGGGTGGTTCATCTTAGAAGTTGTATATTTTAACGCTTCCGAACTGTGTAAATGGTTACGTCACTCTCACGTGACGGCCAGCATGCCCTCCTTCGGGACGGGGTGTCACAAAGTCAATTCACCTTGATGAGCAAGTTCTTCAATATATTTTGCATAATCATTCTCAGAAGCACTCCCTTTTCTTGTTGAAGTCGTCTTACCTTAATGCCAAAACCAAAAACAAAAACAAATCATTTACTCGGTGAAAATGTTGGAATATTGTTAAAGATTGTCCTAAATTCAGAATTGTGTCTGTCGGTCTAAAAGTTGTCATGAACAGCACCCATCTATACTTTATGCTCGATCATGACTCGCATGTTCATGAAAGCGACACAGAACAAGTGCGAAGCAACCCCTGAACAAGGGTCGGGGTCGACCCGTTATCCAATTAGACCTCAAGATAAGAAGGTCTCAAAGAGAAAAAGGAGTGTGCTTCCAAGAATGATTATACAAAATATATAGAAGAACTTGATCGCCAAGGTGAATTGACTTTAGCGCGGGAAATAACTAAATTTGAGGCACCTAGAGAGGAGGCAAAAACTGCAACTGCTGAGAGATTATTTCAAACTAATAACAGAGAAAAAGAGCTACTTAGGCAAGAAAGAAAAAAGCTTAAAGAAGAAAGAAGGGCTCAACAAGATCGTGACATTATGAAGGAGCCTGTAGAGGCGATGTCTCTGAATTCTAAATATTTTTGGAATTCGGAGAAAGCGGACGTGGTGCGAAGGAGGCGTGCAAAAGAAACGAGAGCAATAGAAGATGGTCCTAGCACCACAAATTGGTTAGGTGATGATTTTCCATTCACGAGAGATTAGAGAAATTGTTTTTAATCGAAACTCATAATTTTCCAATTATTTTGGGTTGTGATTTCTTATTTATTGAATATACTATTTTATGTTGTTTCCAATTTATTAAATTTAGTACTTTTTTTAAACTAAAAGTATATTTATTTACTTTGGTAATTTATTTAAACTAAGAGAATCTTTATTCAAATGACATAAACACACTAAATAAAATTATATAAACATACCAAATAAAATTACAAACACACCAAATTAATAAATAAATAAAAAAACTAACTAAATGAACTTAAAAAAACACAACAAATAAAATTAAATAAGCACACCAAATAAAAAAAACACACACACACACTAAATGAACTTAAGTTTCTTGAATTTGTTTCAATTATCACTGGTGCTCTATCAAGTCAATTTAACGAGCATTATGAACATTTGCGTCTTGAAGTGAAGTATATCGTTGAAGCCTTTCATTGTAACGTTCATCCCGTTGTAATGGTTCGTGTTGCACAGGTTCTTCGGTGGTGTCATGAGCACAATATATTTATGTTTTGGAATTGTTTAATATGTCTGACTCATATTCATCAACGACATCATAATTATACTCATATTCCACAATCATGTTGTGAAGAAGGATGCACGTCATCATGATGGATCGAAGCGACTCTAAATTAAACATTCTGGCAATACCCTTGACAATCACCCAACGAGCTTGGAGGATACCAAAACAATGCTCCACATCCTTCCTACACCCCTTTTAACAACTTGTAAAGTGTTTTTCCTTTGCACTTCGCGAACGTGGCACTATTTTGATAAACGATGACCATCTTAGGTAAATGCCGTTTGCTAGGTAATATGGCTCGTAGTACTTATTTCCGTTAACCCAGTACGTGACTCTTGGCGCTTTTCCTTGCAGGACATCGTTGACCACTGGGGATTGGGCAAGGATATTAAGGTCATTTTGAGCTCCCGGAACATCGAAAAAAACGTGCCAAATTCATGTATCAAATGATGTCACCACCTCCAAAATGATACTTTTTGCTCATTTTATGTCCCTATAAGCTCCTTGTCATGTATTTAGACAGTTTTTCCAGGTCCAGTGCATACAGTCGATGCTTCAAATCATCCTAGGAAAACCTTACATTTCGTCATTCTTCAGAAGCCTTTGCAAATCCATCTCAGTAGGTCTTCGGAGGTACTCTGTAGTGTAGATAGATTCGATTACGGAGCAAAACCTCATCAGGGGCTCAAGATTAGTTGATTTCCCCATCCTTACTATCTCATCAACTTGGTCTACAGATGCTCCATATGCAAGCATCCGCAAGGCAACATTAATTTTTTACTCAAGAAGGAGACCCATAACACCAAAAGTATCAGTCTTTTGTACAAAGTAAGAATCGGTTGCAAACAACAATCATGATTTTGTTGAACAAATGTTGTTTTATTCTAAAATGATGTCTAAAGTACATATCAGGAAATGTACTATTATTGACAAAATAATCGTCCAAGAGATCAATATCTCGTCATTATCTGCTTCTATCAATGTTTGTGGAACGACTAGCCTGGAGATCTGAGTCATAGCTTGGATGACTCGACAGGAATGTGAAGCTCTTTGAAGCTCTTTGACTGCTTGCTTCGTCATCTCTCATTCTACGTTTCTCATCATCTTCCTCTTTCATCTCATTTTCGTCCACCTGGAGATTGAACACTTCTTTCTCTTGCTTAAACAATTATTTCTCTTGCTCACCGATTTCCCACAACATTGTTGAAGAAGACATTGTAAGAAAGAAACATAAATTATGAATAATGATAGAGATTTTGATTTTGGTGTGTGATTTCTTAAGATTGATGGTGGGTTATATAGAGAAAAAAGAAAAGATTATGTTGTAGATAATGCCACGTGGCATGCCGTTATTCGTTAAAAATCTGATCGAAATCTATCTTTAAAGATTGTAAACAGATTGTGATACGTAACACAACATGATTAGTTAAAAATTTTATCGGAAATTTATCATCAATGATTCTGAAAAGGTGACGACATGTGGCAATGCTGCATTGGATAAAAATCTTATTGAAATCTATTACCAAAAATTGTCTTTTCAGATAATGACACGTGGCGCAACAAAAACGATTAAAAATCTTATTTTCAATTACAAATAAAATTATTTTGTATTATTTTATAAAATAAAAAATACTAATATTTTATTGTCTATTAACATGGCTATTCATGTAAGGATGGAGATACAAAAAGTAATTACTGTTCATTAAAGACAATTACTATTCATTGAAGGTTATTCAATAGGAAGTTGTCTTGGTGGCCTCGATATGCTGGACTTGCTCTTATAAGAATGGTGCTTTTCTAAAATATTGGGTTCGAACTTCTAAGTATTTTTCTATGAAGTGTAATTATATCTAGGGTTCTTATGTGAAAATCCCATAAATTTGGATCTTCACATTTTTTGTTTTTTTTTTTTTTTTTTTTGAGAATGGAAGATAACAAGAAGTGTGGATGCAATACGAGAACTTCCCATAAGTTCGTCCATCTAATGCTACTTTCGTTCAAACTCGCTTAATATCGAAGTCGGAGTTCTGATAAGATTCAGTGCATATGATTTTCACATAGAAAATCAGATAAACTAACTTGATAAAAATACAAAGAGAATTGCAAGTAGTGGTTGCGTTTGAGGAACAAACCTGATGCCCCCTGCTGCTTCTTCCCCACTCAGAATGGCTCACAACCAGTTTTTGCAATTGCCACACTCCTCTGAGAGCCATCTGCCACGCGTTCATAAATCATTTCAATCAGAAATTTATACCAAAAATTGAAACAAATAATGAGTCGAAATTTTGTTAAATACATACAAAAATTTCTAATCACAACAACCCTAACATTATATCATTTCATAAAAAAATTAAAAAAAAAATTAGTTGTCTACTTACCTTTTTCTCGAAGCTCTGTTACGATGAAGCTTGGAAACCGCGTCGATAATGAGAGAGGAAGTAGGTGGGGGTGAGATTGTGGAGGCGGATATGGCGTCGTGCTTTGGGGTGGTGGTGTACCGGTCGCGGCAGCGCAACGAACAGATAGAGAAAATGGACAGAGAGCGAGAGAAAGAATCGGAGGAGGAAGACTTGTGTGCGGTGGGCTTCTTAATTTTTATTTTTTTATTTTTTTATTTTAATTTTATTTTATAAGTAGAACGATATATTTTACACTAAACGAAATGAGAGAGTTTGACTAAACCACCTATTGAGTAACTTAATTTGTTATTAAATTCGTCATCTACAAAATTCAAACCTAAAACTTCTCTTACATGTGGAGAGGAATACCACCAGATTATAATACTGGTGAACTTCTTACTTAATTGAAACAATGGGCTTCTTGGTTTCTGGTTTCTTAGTTTTGGGCCTTTAAGCCTGCATGAGATTGAGCCCACTTAAAATAAACCCCTCCCATTTTCACTCTGAATTCCCCATCTTTGCCCCAAAGTGTGAATTCTTATGGAAAGTTACGAGCAATGTCATTTGCAATTTATTTATCAAAATGACTTGCAACTTTACCATGAAGATCCTTATCTGTTAAACTGCACACATTTGAAATAAACAATATACGTCCGGTTTTAGGTAAAGATAATTGAGTTTCAGGAAGTAAAATCATATCTTCTGTTAAAATTGTAACGAGTTTATTTGAGATAATTGTCGCATTTAACTGACATACAATCGGAAGCAGGACAAGAAAATAGCGGAGTACAAGCTCCAGCATCTTGTCCGAACACACATTTGTTCGAATGACGAAGCATACCAATCTGTCTTCCAGCAACCAGAAGAAGCTGGACTTGCAGAGGTTTCAAATTGTCAAGGGCTCTTGTACATGCGGCCACCAAAGTTTTAACAACTAACACATCCAACTTGGGGCCACTTGTCCTACCATATTCCGAGCAGCTGCGATATGGTCCATATGGATGGTCAGTGATCCGCAAGAAACTATTGTTTTTACCAAGGCAGAAGAGAACTTACGCGCCGAATTTCAATAGGGCTCTTCAGCGTTTCTGTATAGATGCTGGTGGAAGGCCAGTGGTTGACGGCATAGTAGATAGTCAAAGCTTTACTACTAGGGAAAATTGCTTAGTTCTGACTCTCCATAGTTCATATTCAGCAGTCAAAGCCTTACTAATTGCCGCTAAGAAAAATAGCTTGCGTAAATTTATATAGCCAAAGAATTATGATTGAATTACAGAATCCAATTACATGCATGAAAGGTTATATGGTAAACCTAATTCAATTCTCTCACTGTACAAGGGGTCAGCCAAAACCAGTCAAATAAGCCGGGGCTCACATATGTGAAGACAACTTATACTAGCAACCAAGCTTCGACCTCAACCAGACATCAACCAGCATATTGCACTTCACAAAGTGTTGAGCTAGGATGGAATATACCTGGAATTTCCACAGATTTCAAACTCTTTTCTCCTTCTCGCGAGATTTTGAAGCTTTTGAAATCATATGCTGCTTTGAGAGTATCTCCGCAATCTGTTGGCGACCAAACAAGTCAGAGCTTTTCAGTATCAGGTTTCTTGTAGCTGAATCAGCAACATAACCTTGTCCTGGCATCCACTGTAGCATTTGAAAAAGCATGTCCTTCTTCTCAGGGAGTGAAACATAGCGAGATATGGCCATCTGAAATAGTCCCTGTGCAATGAAGGAATGAAACTGAGCAGTGACTTCAAAAGGTAAAATCTGAAACAGAAGAGGTGTAAAGCTTCCGTTGAGGATTTTATATCCATTGCAGATTTCATTGCTTATGTACATTTTCCCCACAACTTGGTATATCCATTGTTACCCCGCCCATCTACTGGGTGTTCAATGTTTCTCTCTTTAAGGAATATTGTCCTCACTTATTATATACTAAAAAATAAAAAATAGGTAGATCCAAAACAGTAGATGGAATAAAATCCACCATAAAATCACTCCCTTCCCGAATGGAAAGATACAGGGCTTGATGGCTCCCACATACAACCATAAATTTCTCCATGACCGCCTAGTATCTGATAGTCTGAAGCAAGTTGCTTATATAAAAGTATAAAATTTCTGAAGAAACTTATTGACACCCATGAAAGTTTACCTGATCTATCTTGCAGCCAGAAGCATCAACTGCCTTCAAAACATCATTTATCAAGTTGATGTTTCCCAACTTCATAAAGGCAGTTGCAAACTTTTTAATAGCAGGCTTAGAAATTAACCCTGCATTGTCCTGACCAGAAAAGAAAAATGTAATTACAAGAGTCGTAAGATACGCATTGAAGAAACGTATCTTTCAAATTACATTGCTCACCTTGACTACTACATACGCATCTCTGAGAAGCTGTCCTGCTACTAGAATGTGCAGAATCTTCTCATGAAGGGCCTTGCACATTGTCCGCTTGCTATATCTCAGCATATTGTAAACAGAGTATGCTTCTGAATATGCTCTTATCTTACCAAGAAGAAACATTAAGGAGGAACACAACTCCTGAAATATAAGATACCATCAATATTTCAAAACTCAAGGTTCTTGCATAATCTTTGCACCACAGAGCATTCTGATGCTATACTTTCGAAGAAAACAAAAACAATGTTTCAGAATCTCCTTGTATGTATTTGTGCATGTATTTTGTGCATCATGTATGTGTGTAAATACAAAGAAAACACTTATGGACAAGGATCAGAATCGTGATAAACCCTCACTAGCCATTGGATCAGAATTGCGATAAACCCTCACTAGCCATTGGATCAAATCTAGAAGATCATATCCAATCTCCATAAAGTAGTAATTTGTTAGTTTTGGATCCAACAGTCTGTTAGCATGTAAGCCATATGCCAATATACCATACATGCTAGCTTAAAGGCTAAAATAGTGTTGCCTTATGATTGTAGGGGCATTGCACAATACAGTTAGTGATGTGTGGTGGTAATAATGATGAAAAATGATACAAAATTTTCTTAAAAACTTCAATACTAGTAAATAATTATATATTCCTAAAAGGATTAATTTATTGCAACTTCAAATTTTTATGACTAATTTTAAATATAAAACAACAGTATCATATAGGGAGCAAGAAATAAGCTAAAAAGGTATTAAATATTTAACACACCAATCCTCAAGCTGCTTGTTTAAGAAACTCTAATCGGTGCAAATTTACAAACTACTAATATGAGAAGCATAAAAAGAATATAATAGACTAGAAGTCTACTATTAGGAAAGAACCCTATTAAATTTAGCTTGAAACTCTTTAAGGAAAACATTTACCGGGTGTCTTTTAGGCAAACTCTTTTAGGCAAATATTAGTGTTTACACAAAATAACAAATACTAAGCCCCAAAGCCCCAAAGCCTATGCATAATGATAGTTCCAACACTAAGCCTTCCCTACTTGTTGTTAGTTATTTCGAGAGCTTTTTTTTCTTCAATCTATGAGAGACCCACGGGGCCTATTCAATAGACAATATAATAATTGCATAAGTGACAACATGTACCATATATTTCCATTATACATTTTAGAGGCAAGTAAATTGACAAAGGATAGTCTGCAAAGAATTCCTACAGTTGCGGAAACTAAATTCGCTTAGTTCAACAAGTATAATCAAGAAGATGCATCTCGGAAGAATACCTCATCTGGTTGGTGGCCCTTCTTGTGCATGTCCTCCATGGTCTGATAAGCAAGCAGGTATAACTTCTCCTTACAGAAGTATTTTATGAGGATATGGAAGGTATTATAATCAGGAGTGATTTTTAATTCATCCATTTTTCTCATCATTTCCATAACACTATCCATATCGCCTGCTCTGCAATAGGCACAGATCATTGTATTCAACATAACTAAATCATATCTATCATGGGTTCCTTCAAAATCCTTAGCCAGCTGCTTTGCATCTTCCAGAAGCCCACCTCGGCAGAAAGCTGAGATCATGATGCTGTAAGAATAGCCATCTGCAAGTGGGAAGAAAAGAAAATCCAAAAAATTTCAGTTGTAAAGATAGAAACTTAAAATTCTGTTAGTAAGAAAAATCCTACAAGAAAAGAAATACAGAGTTCAATGCAAGTATCTACCAAAACTCCAGAAACATCCATACTTTTTTCAGACTGTCACTTATTTTTTTTGGAAAAGCGATTCATGCACAAGTTTTATGTTACTTAGGCTAATTTAAGAGCTCCTATCTTGTTTTACATGACATTTGTGAAGACCCTTGGCACTAATAGCTTGGTTGATAACCTATACATATGCTTTTGAAGACACAAAATGCATAATTCAGCTTCCCGTAGGCTTTTAGTGCATCATGTGTGCAATACAATACCATGCATATCTTGAGTATAGAAAAGTTTGGGAATTTGTCTCTCTAAAACTTACCTGATCGAACGGACTTCTCCTTCATTTCATGAAAAACCAACTTAGCTTCATGTATACGCCCAGCCTTAGCAAGGGCATCCATCAATAAACAGTACGGCATCTATAAATAAGTCATAGCCACAAATGTAAGAAGACAACAAAATAAATAAATCAAGTTCCTAGAACTAACACATAATAGCTGGATTGTCAGATTGTGGTGGTCGGAGGTCCACGATGTGGCACGCAAACAACACATTAGTGTAAACAAAATAATCATTACTAGGTGTTTTTACTAATTCAGCAAACACAAGATGTTAGGATTAAGACACAGAAAGATCATTCCAAGAGAATGCCACAAAGCATTTTACTCAATGTGTTTCATGACATACTTAAGGGAATGACTCGAGGGATAAAATCAATCAGATAAAAGTTAATACTATCTGTGCAAGCAAGCAAACAAAGGTTTCAGATGATAACTACAAAATCAAACCCCTGTAAATTGTATCTATGGTATCAAAACCTTACAAATGGTATCTACAAGGATTCATGGTATTTCATTGTCAAACCACATTGTTGCCCTGAATTTGTTTTGTGACTTTCTTATTTAATTTATTAGATTATCTGGTGCAAATTATATAATTTTGACAATCTATAAGCTACTCTATTTGGCTCTAAAGCACTTCTTCCATAAAGAAAACCATTGCAGGGTAAAGTCACAACATCTTATCCTTTTAAACTAATGAAGTTAGATGAAAAGTCCTCGTGTACCTCTTCTTCAGCATAACCCAAAGCTTCCAGTTCACCTAATAGCTCTCTTGATTTTTCGAACAGCCCCCCTCTGACATAAACCTTCAATAAAGTTGTCAAAATAACCTGCGAGCGTTTGCAGTAGGAGCAGAAGATATAATCAGTAAAGTATAGCAGAAAATAAGTTCTAAGCTTGCACCTTTGCATAAAATAAGTACTACTTTTATTTTATCTTTACCAACCAAGCATTTACAGATCTGCAAACTAATACTAAATATCTAATATGTTGAGAAGCATGAAGACCAAATGAAGAGTACGTAGGTGAAGACAAAATTGTAGACTGATGAGTGATTAATCAAATTTTTCATGTACAATTTTTTTATGGGAAGAATTTTTACCTAAAACTGTGAAGTTGCAATACAAAGTAACAGAGTGAATGAGTTACTATAATCTACTATGCACACTTATTTCCAGCTAGAACCAAAAAGATTAAGACCTGTAACACTGTCAATCAGGGTACTGCTTTTTCGGAGTTTAAGTAAGACTTTTAGTGATCAAGATTGGACCTGATTCTGTATTTGGTGCAACCAAAATGTAGCCATCTCAAAGCATGTGTACGTGTTATATGACCTATTCTTATATCCTTTAGTGTAGAACTCTTACAACTATAGATATCAGTGATAGAAGTAACTACTAATGAACTTCAGAATGAGGTAATCATGTATGGCAGTAAAACATTAACAAACCTTATTTGGTACTAACCCTGCAGATTTCATATCTTGAACCAAAGCATCAGCCTCCTTGTAGTTCCCTCTCATAGAGTACGCATTAAGCAAAGAGCTGTAGTGGTAGACATTTGGTGAATGACCCTCATCCTTCATCTTCTTAAAATAACCTTCAGCTTCCTCCAATTTATTATTAGATGCACAGACAGCTAAAAGTGTACCATAAATTACACTGTCCATCTGCAGCTCATTACGCTGCAATTCTTGAACAAATTCTAATGCCTTATTATAACCATTTTTGAGTTTGCTGCAACCTGCAAGCAGCTAAGATAATAGTAGATTAATAGTAATGAAGGTCAAATATATGAATAAGCAATTTAATATCGAACAGGTTTTACTTATCAGAAAAACAAACGGATGTTCAGAAAATTACATGTATTGTTGCTAGCAGGCATTAGACGTTTCTTATTTCGTTCATGAAATTAATGTAGTCATCTGTTAATCATGACAGCTCACAATCTTTCAAGTTTCTCTTAGAAAATTTATTAATAAGTGTGCTTCATACAAAGTAAGAAATAGGAAATGTCACTGGGAAAGCTTTTATACCTTTGTCTTACACAATATACTAGTAAATCATATAACAAATTCACTTGAAGAAACAAAGAGCTATTCCGAAAATTAACTTGTATTGTATAAGTTATTAAGCTGTTGATTTTTTATATTTCATTCATTTACGATAACTGCTAGTTTATATTTTGAGTTTTAATGATACTTTTTTTTGTCAGGAACAGACCTATTCATTAACGATAAAAGTAAAAAAAAGACAGTACAAAAGTGGCGAACAAGAAATCCACTTCAGGGAAAAAATAAATAAGGAATCTACATCAACAATTCTATCCTAAAGAAGTTGCATCAAGACAACCACATCATTTCTAGAAAACTACCTAATAAATGTTGTCAAATCTGATACAATAAAGGATAGCTCTCTAAACCTTGAAGCTACATCTGCCCACAGAAAAAAACCCAAAAACACACCCTATCCCATAAATGCTCCATCTCTTTCCCAAGCACATTCTCAAAGAACCCCTGTATTGCTTCCAATTCATTAAACCCAGAAAATTTCCATCTCAACACATCTCTACAGACCTCTCCACCAATAAAAATTCGTTGCGTAATGTACTGCAGTCTGCAGGACTCTGGAATAGCACAACATAAGCATTTCTCTTTAAGTAAGCAAGGCCACAAAGAACAAGCCACTGGGAAATTAGTTAAAATGAATCATAACCACAATCACTATGTGTTAATGTTATTCTTACTCAATGCAATTTTGGATGAGAACTCCTTATCCACAAATAGTTCTCTTGTTTTAATAATTTTCATTTTTACGTAGCGTCGTCAGCCAAGGACAATTATGATTTCCCAGTAAAACAGTATTTTAATTTTCAATTCTTATCATTGAATTCACTCCTTGATCAAAGATTCAGCCCATATCCTCTGTATGTTATCATTTTTTAAGAAAAAACTTCTGTTTTGAAATGCCAAGGAAAGCAACATTGCATGATACATTGAAATGCATACCGTACTATATGTGACAGCATCTGGCGTTAAACCATTCTGCTTCATCTGGTCAAATAACTTAAAGCTGACATCAAACTTGCCACTCCTGATCAGACTACCAAGAACAGAATTGCATATGTGAACATTCTTTTTGGTTGATTCATCTTGAATGTTATTGTATATTTCTAATGCTTTCACAGGATTGAGGCTCTTTCCCATGAACTTTATATAGCTGCTATAGGATGATGCACTGACTTTTTCATTCTGTAGCATCCATTCAAAGAGCTGTAACAATTGCAAATTTATTCTAATATCAAAAACTGGAAAGAGAAACTCAATAATTTTAGGTACAACATTCAAAGACAAAAAGGACGGCAACATATATGTTTTGTTAACAGTAGCATGTACACACGACTGGAGAGAGGGAGAGAGAGAGGAAAACCACAAATATGCTTTTTCTTAGCACACTACTTTCTTAGCACACTATTGGAGACATAAGGAATGAAAACTGAATATAAACTGCACGATCGAAATGCTTAGCAACACACACAAGTACATTAAAACAGCATAAATTACTTGCAAGAAATCATGAAACCAAAAAGAAGTCCGGAAGGCTTTTGCAATCTGATATTGGTGTTAAATAAATATTAAATGTTAAACAGAAATAAATAAATAAAACAGGTTGAACCAAATATAAAATATTCACTAACAAAATATAATAATTATAATAGTAACATTTAGATTCTCAAAGTCATAGCACCTGGGAAAGATCATGCCATCTTTTCTTCGTCCCCAAATGGCGTATAATGGCATTCAAGTCTTGAACCGTCAAACTCCTACCTAATCTGAGGGGGAAAATTAATGTCAGTTACACTGCATAACCAGAATAGATAATTCACGGTTCAAAAAGATTACTTCATGATCGAAGGAATCAAGTTACACAATCACAAAAAAAGATATTTTGGTATTGTGAACGAATCTAAAATAAAAATAAATCAAAGAATTGCAGATAATCCCGGTAGCATTATTAAGAAACAAAATGCAACGGTAAAGATGAAAAATGAAAATTGGATGACATGAACATGAACATGAAAATTAACATATCATTTGGGGAAAATTAACTATCTTCTAAAATAATGACTGCCTATTATTTTCGGCAAAGTATACGGTCTCCATAACACCGGCTAAGTATAATCTGAATAATGTCAGATGAAAAATGAAAAAGTAAATTATTTTCGAGAAAACAAAAAGATAAACACTTCATTCCATACAGCAGAAGCATCAAAGACAACCAAAAAAAAAAAAGATAATGGAACAGCACAATGCAGGCCCTTTTCACAAAACCCATTTTGAGTTTCAATTGAAAAAACTTAGCTCATGAAACAAAAACTGCAAACATATATAAAAAGAGATAAGGATGAAACAAAATACAGGATATCATAATACCCAATTCACTCCATTACTTGCAATTCAAACAAAACAATGTAACAGTCAAATTTCGCTACGGACTCAAAACACAGATACTAATTCAGTCATCATTCACTTGGAAAAACAAAAGAATTCAAGAAAATATATGTGCAGAAATGGGGCAAAAAATGAACTTATCCAAAAGAAAATTGCAGAGAAGGACCTTGTGAGAGCGGAGCCCAAGTCGGAGGAGTCTTGGACTTGAACAATTGCAGATTGTCTGGCTAAGTAGTGCTTGGAGTGGCGCTTCGGGGCACTGTTACTGCCATTGTTGGGAGCCTCCGCGACACGAGTTGTGACACAACAGAGATGAGAATTCTTGGCTCTTGCGCTCCTCCATAGAGTCGGAGAGAGAATGGAAAGAGAAGAAATGGGCGATGAGGGGCCGCAGAGGACGTGCTGGACACCGCCGGCGACGCCCTGTACCGACGTCACCTCCATTTTTCACTTTTTGATGAACTGATGGAAATGGAAATGGAAATTGAATTGAAGGGACGAGTGTAGAGTTTGTCTGAGTTGGGATTTTTCCAAGGGAAGATAATATTTTTTGGAAAATTTTAAGGGAAGGATTTCTATTTTTTTATAAAAATAGGAATTAGTTGTGGGCACTTCATCGAATTTGAAGGATCCAATTATTTATTTTTTAAGTTATACTTTATAGATCATTTTTGTAAAATATTACCTAAAACGAAAATGTTTAAGATAATTAGGTTCAAAGAAATTAACGAATACTTTGTTATATAAGAAACAATGAAATTTTATATTGATAATTACATAGGCAAATGGTTTCGGATTGAATTGAATTTTCACAAAAATTATCTATGAATCGAGACTTATAAAATAGGCGATTTGGATCATTAAAATTCAATGTGGAGTGAGCCACACCTAATCCCTATTTTTTTTTTTTAAATAGGAATCCCTTTGCATAAAGGGTCGGAATATTTTTTAGTAACATAACTAAATTTGTAAATAAATTTTTTAATTAAATCACATGAAAATTTATGAATAAATTATTATTTTAAGTGTTAACGTATTTATTTTTTATTAGTGTCATATTATTTAATTTACAAATATAATCTACCTAACATTACTTATATTTTTTACTTATTTTTTTCTATCCCTTGAAGCTCAATTGTTTTCCCATTTTATTGCTGAAATTCAAAAACTGTTACTTTGCCAATAGAACTCGATTCTCGTTTTACTTTGTCCCTTCATGCTATTTTATTTAAAAAATTTCGTTAATGTACTGATATTACATCAGTCTCAAAGTCCGAATGAGATATACATATTGAATTTCTAGGGTTTGAAGAAGGTACTATTGATTTCATTAATATCAAGCAGGACTTTCTTAATGGGCATTCGAGAAGAAGCTGAGGAATTCGATCTTCAGCTAATGGTGGTGATGCATGAGCATCTAGAAGGTTCCTACAAATGTTTAGGTCTGCTAGCTGGTTGGCATAAGGTTTGGGGTGTTTTGATTTAGGTCGAAAAAATTTGAGTTGTTATTAGATATAGCCCAGTGTGATATTTTCTACTTTAATTAAATTTATTTAAATAAATTTCTTGATTTAGACATTTTTATTCACATTTTTAATTTAAATATTTAAATATAAAGATTTAACCACTTTTCTAAAAAATTGTTAAAAAATTTTTATATGACATCATATATGATACCTACATCATAGATTGATTAAATACATATAACATGAAAGTAGAAGTACGAAAATAAATAAAACTTAAGTTACCTATCATCCATGAAAATTTGTTTGGAGAAATCTAATCATCATATATTTATAAACTCATACTAATATAGAGCCAACAACATAAATCAATTGGCACACTTAACATGTGATGGAGGTAGAAGACAACTTGAGATTCGAATTGGGGTAGGAAAAGCAATATATAATTCTTATATTTAACCCTAAATTAAGTAAATTAATCCTATAAATACGAGATAACATTTATCATAATTTAATAAACAGATAATAAAAGTAAGATGATGTGGATAATCAATGAACATACATAATCCAACAAAGTGACTAAACTTAATATAGATTAAAGACTTACAAAATTGAACTTATATCAAGTTTACTCAAGTCATAATAAGAACTATTATTAGCACTTAAAAATTTTCATTTCGCACTCCTCACAAAACTTATTTTTGCTTCTAAATATAGAATGTTTGAAGTGCAAAATGCGAATGTCAGGGTACCAATAACAATTCCCAGTCATAGTGGGCAAAAAATTAAATGGGTAAGTTATAGTTGGAATGGGATTTCTTATGAGTGAATGGAGTTATACACATTATATTGTCTTATTTCCACACTCACCTAATATTCTCACTCTCTTGAAAAAAAAAAAAAAAAAAAAAGTCAAAAAAAATATATAAACTCTTCCTCCACCCGCCAGTTTTCCCAAAGTAAACCTAATTTTTTTTTCTTTAATTTTCCTTGCTTTAAAAAGGTTATTATAATTTAAAAAACAATTATCATCAAACAAAATTACCCTAGCAGCCCCCTCCCGAAAAAACCAAAATCAAATTACGATTGTGGCACCACCACGTCACCAAAACTACTCAGGTATACAATCTTTTTCGTTACTAATTTAAATTTAGACAACACAAGAGAGACGACGTCGCCGTCCTAGTAGCTAGGTCTTCCTCCTCAACCCTTTGTTTTTCGGGTTCAAGCCTTCGTCCTCCCATTTGAGTAGATTAATATAGAATATCCAATAAGATCTATACAATATTATCTATGTACAATTGTATTACTCTTTTTTTAACAAATCTACACTATTAGGGTAGGGGACTGGGTTAATCCTCACAATGGCTTAAAAATAATGTGGTTCAAATTCACCTTTAAGAATGACCAAACCTAAAACCTCCACTTATAAATAAAGATGAATATCACCACTTAGCACTATGATTTAGTGGTATTCCTCTTCACCGGTAAGTGAGAGGTCTTAAGTTCGATTCTCGTCAAAAACAAATTTAAACTATATTATTGCTAGCCCATTATGAGGTTAAGACCACCCCCTCCCTTTAGTGTAGATAATATCAATTGTTCAAAAAAAAAATGAAGAGGAATACCACTACAGTATAGTACTAAATGGCTACAATTGTATTACTTGAAGGCAAGTATTGTTGGTTTTTGTGCGCACAATTGGAATTAATTTAACTTGTATAATTAAATACAAAACAAAAAATAATAAATAAATATACAATATGTTATCCTCAATTAATGTAGTCAATTCATGTCTTCACAATCATCCTGATGCATCTCATGTTGAGTTCTTACAAACATAGCTTGATCAATAAGTACTTCACCCCAAGATTTATGAGATAGATCTTCAAGTGGCTTCGAGAGATATCTTCTTTTATTAACAATTCTCAGAAGGCGATAAAATCCTTATTGCTCATTCATACATCTTCACTATTTGGCAAGTATAATCATATTGGGTACATAGAAGCAGTGAGGGCTTTTGAGGGGAAATCAAAGTTCATATTTATAAGCACAAGGGATCGATGATGCCTTAGTTCAGAGAACTTATAAACTACAATCTAAAGCTTTATAATTTTTTGACATGTGGTAAACATCTATACGTTTAACGCAATCAATGTTCAATGAACTTGTTCAATAGATAAGCACCTGTATATCCACCATGCGTCTATTTCACATAGCACAAGACCATCTATAACACATAGCATAAGACCATGTTAACCTTAATGCAATATACAACGGCCTTTCCAGATGGTCACTTCCAAATGGCTAGGAACTTTGTTTAAGAACTAAGTGACTATGAAATACAAGTCTTACTGCTCTAACCTCGTTTACAACATTGCTTCCATACCTTAAATCTCATGGACTCTTTTATTAGTATATTATCTCTATAATATAAAGTCAAACTCATAAATGAATTAATCTTGCATTATTATTCATTATTTGTTACCCATTTTGGCTGAGAAGTCTTTTAAAATATCTCATAAGCAATTGAACTACCCAACGAGTAGCCAAAACAAAAGAGGTTTTAGGGCGCAACTCTAACAATCTCCCAGTTGCACAAAAGCCAATAGTCATCATGACGCACTCCAAAACTATTCAAGCTACTTATGTGTTATCTCATTAGTAATGGGTTCATTACGTTCTTCTGCAATGTTAACTCTTTAAACTTGAACCTTCTTTTTCTTCTTCACAGATTCTCTAATCTTGTGACAATGCTTTCTGATTTTTGTTTGAACGATTCATGAAACTGTAGTTCCTTGACTTGAGCTAATACCCCATTGTAATCACCTAATAACGACATTATTGATCTAATGATAGAAACATATACAAGTTTAATGATAAACTTCTTTATTCAAAACAGCCTATCAATTAGCATTTGAAGCAAAATAATGTTATGTTACTCAGGTGGAGAGCATAATCCACTTCTCCATATCGTTTATCCAACTCACAACTCTTTCATTCAAAATGAAGACAAGTATTTATGTGAATCTACACTTTGTAGATTCCATGTGGTTGAAATCAATATAGCCTTCCACAAGCAATTTCCGTTCAACGCTTCCTCCATATATAAACATCATATCCTTAGACCTTCCCAAATACGTAAGTATCATGTGTTTTATCGGTTAGATTTAATTTTCACAACTACTGTATCCTTTATTTTCAGTCTTAACTAAAGAAATATTACTTTGTACGTGTAATAAGGAAATGAAAAGGTGACGTCCGCGGCAAAACGTGATTCATGTAGTGGTGGAGAGTCCTTAGACCATCTCCAACAATGACTTAAAACCTAAAATTTCCCCTTCCCCCCCCCCCCCCAAAAAAAAAAAATCTACTCCAACCCATGACCTAAAATTAACCTAAAACCTAAAACTTATTTTGAGGCCAAATACCAGCCCAATTTTAGGCACAAAGCAAAATGGTCTCACCAACTGAGACTAAAACAAGGGCTGTGAAGCCCACTGCCCAGTTTCCACTCGCCCAGACAGAGGGGTCATGCCTACACGCACCAGAGGATGACACAAGCCGGGCCCACCCATGTGGGGTTGTCCCCCGGGTGTCAGCCGACTGTGTAGCCCAACGGCTACTTTTTTCAATCCAACGGCTGGATTTAAATGGGCCGTTGGTTAATCCAACGGTCCAGGTTCAAATTATTATTTTTTTTAGTTTTATATTTATATATTTATTAAATCCAACGGCTTAGATCGAATATAATCAAATCTAACGGTAAAAAAAAAAAGATCTAACAGTCCAAATTTAAATCCAACGACTAAAATAATTTAAAACAATTATTTAACTTAAAATTCAACCAAAAACTCTATAAATACCTATCTATGTGTTCAAACATCCACACAAAACTCACTTTTCTCCTACAATTCTTCCAATTTTTCTTTCTACCATTTCTTCTCATTTCCAAATTTTTCAAGATGGCAAAAGAGCATGTTAGAGGTCGTAATTGGACCTTTGATGAATATATTGCTTTATGTTTGGCATGGATTTCTGTTAGCGAAGATGGTGTCGTTGGCACGAACCAAAATAGAAAGGTTTTGTGGGGTAAAATCGTTGATAGGTTCCATGAAAACTCCAACGCCAGTCGAAGGGAAGTTGGTGGTGTTTATGATCGGTGGAAGATTATCAACAAAGCGTGCACTTTGTGGAAGGGAAGCTTGGAGAGAGCCATGGTTGACATGCCTAGTGGAAGGGGCGCCTCAGAAATTTTGAGTTTATTTGTTGATATTTTAGTTGTCATGTACATAATAGTATTTTGCAACTAATTATTTTTATGTATTTGTTGCATAGGGTGACAAAACAATGGCAATTTACAAGACAAGAACTACACCCAAAAATCAAGCTTTTAAGTTGCATCATGCTTGGAACATTCTCAAGGATTGTCTGAGGTGGGGAACCGATGCGAACCAACAATGTGGAAGATTATTTCATAGTGAAGCCCCACCCCCAAATGATGTTAATAAAGGTGTGAATTTTGCCGACAATGAAGGTGTCGAACAAATGACCCCAACTTCTTTTTTTGCAAGGCTCCCGGGTAGAGATAAGCAAAAGGAAGCAAAGAGAAAAGGGAAGTCCCAAGATCCGACACGTGCCCAATTTGCTAGCAAAATGGCAATAATGAACGAAATCCAGTGCCGTCGGCAAAAAGAATCGGCCCAAATGCTTTTGGCCATGAAGGAAGAAGGGGATAGGGAGCAAGAAAGGTACGAAACTAATTTGATAATGGAGGACCTCGACAAATACACTCCAGAGAGGAAGATATACTTACGTGGTAAGCAAAAGGAAATTTTACGAAGGAATGCCACAAGGAGTATATTTCCAGATGATGATTCATCTCAAGACTATCACCCAAGTCCATCATCAAGTCAAGATGGTGAATATCATTATTAAGTTTATGTAGTCTATGAGTTTTCGATTGTATTAAGTTTATGTAGTTTATTAATTGTTTTTTTTATTTTTTAAGTTTATGTGGTTTATTAAATGTCGTTGGTATTAAGTTTATGTGGTTTATCTTGATTTTCATGTATTGATTTAGTGATTTTTCAAAATTTATCGGAATTTAAATATTTTTAGGTTAAAATGTTCATAAAATTAATTTAGGATAGTCTACATAATTTTTTTTTTTTTTAAAGTTAATTTAAAAAAAATAGTCTTAATTCATTCTTTGATAATCTGGAGCTAAATTTTTAAGCCAGAAGTGTTGGAGTAGAAAAACTATTTCTAAGTTAAAACCTAAATTTTCTGGGCTAAATATTTTTAGATTTTAGATCACGGTCTTAAAACTTTAACGCGGCATGGCCTACAAAGGCGATTTTTCTTGGATACCAATTATTTTTGGCCGTCCGACACGATCCAGTGGCTCAAATTCATCACCGGTTGACCGGTTAATTTAACCGGTTTAAGAGAGAGAGAGAGAGAGCAGTAGCCGAGTAGAAGAAGAGAACAAGTTTCACGTACACTTATTTATTTTAAATCTCTCTCAAAACGACCATGACAAGCTTGACCTCGACTTTTTCGAAGTCGTCGTGTTTGTGGTTTTAACTACTTTAGTCCAGTCAGTCTTCTATCTATTTGTGTTTTATTTATTTTTGCATACATCTCTCTCTCTGAAACTCTCTCTCCTCTGAGGAGTTTGAGTGATGGCGATGATGATGGAGGATGGCCATGGCCAAGATTTAAGGAGCTTGGCGAGGACTTTAGAACGCGACCAAATTCTGGAAGTTTTGTCAGGCGGGTTTTGCTGCAGCTGCCAGCTCCTTTTGGAGAGTCGAATTCGCACCCTGCTCAACAGTAAGAAATATAGATTACAGACACTTTTTACTTCTTTTTTTTTTTTTTTGTTTTTTTCTTCCTTTTGAATTTTGGAAATTTATTGTCTTTGATATTGTCGAATCCTTGGTGTTTCATGAGCAGGGTTTAATTGATTGTGTATTATTATTATTTTTTTTTACCGACGATAGCGTTAATGGGTTAAATGATTAAATGTTATCGGAAATATGCATTATTACTTTTTGCCGCAGTAAAGCACCATCTGCGTGTATTATCATACTTTATCTCTTAGAATTGCTTAAGCTCATGATCAGGTTTCTATTTTTAATTAATATGTTTTGTTTTAAGTTTATTATTCCTTGCCTTCACACTCTAACAAGCAGATGCCTTTTACTATCTTTTTGCTTTTTGTTTAATTCCTGAATAATTTTACCCAAAACTAAAAAGTGCTATACAACAATAAAAGTATTTTGTCACCAGTTAGGGGAAGAAATGTTAAGGCATGCTAATTAATCCATGTGGGATCGTTTGGGGAGTGATTTCAAAATAATTGAAAAAGTTTTTAGAGAAAAGATTTTTGAGTTCTCAAAGCACTTTAAGTGTTTTTTTTTTAGGATTTAATTGCATTTTACTTAGAATTCGTTCTAAAAGCATTTTAACTGAAAACGGTTTCTGTCATTGTAAAAGCAATTCCGAACGAGCTCGTAAATGATTGCACATACATCTTATTATTAACCAATTAACCCTTAAAGGAAAACCAATTAATCATTTCCTGTTTTTCTTTTTAAATTTTACATACGCAGAAAAAGTTGGTGGGGAGGTATCTTTTTCCAGTGATGATGATAACAGTTCTGCACAATTGAAGTCCATGGATGCACAAACCCCTTCACCATGCCAGTGTGTGGACGAACCAATTGTGCCGTCCTCAGAGAATACTACGGAGTCATTCGATAAAATGCTCGACCAGCAAGAGTGCACTCCAATCCAAACACCTTATCATACAACTCCTGTCCACTCATCAATCCAAATAGAGTGCAAGTCTAATTCATCTTCTCCGATGTTATTCGCTGGTGCAAAAAGTGGAGATTCCTCGGAGGATCCAAACGAGCATAACCGAGTATTACAAGTTCGGAGACAGAACTTCGTCCACATTGAGTGTATACATGGCAGACGAATAAATGTCTTACAGGGCCTAGAGCTACATACTCGGGTTTTTGATGCCGATGAGCAGAAGCAAATTATCGAGTGTATCTACAATTTACAACGTATGGGGAAAAGTGGACAACTTAGAGGTATAGGAGCATAAACTCTCTTTCTCATTCTTCTTTGCTTAAGCTATCCTCAGAAAAGATACCAAAGCATGTTGCTGAGATTGGTTAAGATACATGTGAAATAGAATGAGTAAGATGTTTGCAACTAATTATCGTTTTATATCTCACAGAGCGAACATATAGCGAACCTAGAAAGTGGATGCGTGGTAAAGGACGTGTGACAATACAATTTGGTTGTTGTTACAATTATGCAGTGGTACTTCTACTTTCCTTTTCCCTGACTTAATTGAAATGGCAAGGTACGTCGATAACCTTACTCTGTGTAAAATTACAGGATAAGAAAGGGAACGCGCCAGGTATTGTTAGAGATGAAGATGTTGATCCTTTACCTCCTTTGTTCAAGCAAATGATAAACAGGATGGTTCGTTGGCGTATATTACCTTCATCATGCATCCCGGACAGCTGCATTGTGAATATTTATGACGAAGGGGACTGCATTCCTCCTCATATTGACCACCATGATTTTGTTAGACCGTTTTGCACGGTTTCACTTTTGGCCGAATGCAACATACTTTTCGGTTCAAATCTAAAGGTTGTAGGACCAGGAGAATTTTCAGGACCTTATTCTATACGTTTGCCTGTCGGGTATGCTTTCTGCACTGCTTCTTTGTTCAGTTGATCACTTATGTTTTGATTGTTTAGTTTCGTTGTCACTCTCTCAAATGCCCCTTATTGTTGAAATTGATCCTCAGTTATCAGTCAAATAATATATTCATGTTAGAGCTAGAGAAAAATTGTATAGTGATAAACAGGTTTGGAGAAGTGTGTAGTTGTCACTTAATCTTCTTAGTATTTGATAAGATATAAGGTAAAAAAGAAGATACAAGACACATTAGTAATAAGAAATGGGAGCTTTTTGACCGCCCAACATTCCGTGCCATAAAGCATCGCTGGCCTTATTCCCGTCCTATAAAATGTAGGGAAGTTCAAGTAGTAAATTTATATTTATCTAAGTTAATAAACAGACAATTGATGAAACGAAAAAGAGATATAACACTTTGTTAATGAATAACACGATTTTAAGCAGAAGACATGATGCCGAGTGAAAATCAAAGCTATTTACTAAGAATGAAACACGAAGAAATGGGATTTTGTGAAGACTTAAATTCACAATGCCAGCCAAAATCTGATTGTTTCACACAAAGTCTGCACACCTTCCCTATAAGTTATAACTGCAGAATATCCTTCGATCTCTCTTGCTCTGAACCAAATCAAAAGTGTCAGCCCTACTGCGAGGAATAATTATGCAAGGATACATATATGCATCAGAAGAGATGAACTTTAGCGGAATTTTGATTTATGTTTTTTGGTTCCAAAACGAAGTGTTGTTAAAGGTTCCAAAATTATGTCAGCCCTACTGAGACTGTTTTACGTAGTTTGTTGTATTACTGATATAGAATGGTCTTGTCATGTTAAGCATTGCTGATGCCTTGTTTTCTAAGTAATTATTAAATTTAACGCGTAATGATCTGCAGATCGGTGCTTCTTCTAAATGGTAATGCAGCTAACGTTGCTAAGCATTGCATACCTGGTGTTCCAGCAAGAAGGTAACCTACCGCATTCCCCATTCGGTGCAACCATTTTCCAACGTGTATTTCCCGATTGTTCACACTCTGTTATGGTTGCAGGATTTCGATTACTTTCAGAAAAATGGATAGTAGCAAGCTACCGCACAATTTTTTCCATGATCCCGAGCTTCAGGGAATTAAACCTTATGCTGTTTCTCCCTTTGCCAAATCAAAAACCCAGCAAGATCAACGAGAGAAGCATTATTCCTATCTTCCTACACGCAACCGTGGTGAATTCAAGAACGCTAAGAAGCGGAACCGCAACTCTTTTCTTCTTGAGAAAGATGAGTTTTCTCCACCTGGTAGATTCAGTTCTGGGAAGAGACGGATATTCAACAGACGGTGAGTTATAGTTTTGATTACTCGTTTCTTTTTTTTAGATGCATGTAATTGTAGCGCTTGATTTATTGTATCGGTTAGAATAATTAAATCGTGTGTTTTCGAGTCATCGTTGTGTATCCTTCAATAAACTCTCTGTATTTTTCAGTAAACTCTTTGGATCCCTTATTCTAGCTTCATAAAAGTTTGACAATTGAGGTTTACACTGTTGTGTGAAGTAGTACGACAACAGCAACAAAATTTTATCTTATTAAATTGGGTCGGTTGTATCAATTTTAGAACGCCAATGCATTTTGCGTCAAGTCTAGCTCTAAGTATTTATGTCTTTTCTTAGATTTTCTTTTCAAATCTTCCGTTAGCTCCAAATACCGTATGTATTTCTTCTAGAAAGAATTAGAGAGTATGTTATTGACCGCTTGTGGTACATTGACTCGTCCGCCTTGCATTTGGGTCTCAGGCGACCCGAATTTGGGGCTCAATAACAAAAAATACTTACTGCCGCCTATGCCACGTCGCTCTTCGACAAAGAGATTTAGATTTTGTAGATGGACGAGTGATCTGACATGGGCGGTATGAATTTTGCAATTGAGAAACGCCACAAATTGAAGAAATTTTTACGTGTGCCGAGAACACGGTTCAGTATAGCAAGTATCATAATATTGGTTGAATAATTTTTTTTTTTAAGTTTTCCACTACACTTGATGTGTCAAACTGTGTTTCGACGGAGTGAAAAATCTCTTCAGAGAAATTTTTTATTGTGACCGGGATACGGATGATACATCATGTGTTTTTGTATAGGTGGTGAAAAATTATATTTTTTAAGTTATTAATTTTTTAACGCACATCTCTCACCAATTGTATATTGACATATGATGTACCACTCTGTGTTCTGATCGCATTAAAAAATCTCTCCACAAATAAATGTACAACTAAGGGCGGATCCACATAGGGACCTAGGAGGTCGCAAGACTCGTCGGCCATCCTAAATCGCTACTATAAATTTTTCGGGGACCCCTCGTACTCGAGCATGAAGTTTGTGCAGCTTGTAGGTTGCAGTGGTTGTCTTCTTCTCGAAGAAGAAAGAAAATAGGAACCCTTCCTGCCTCTTCCCTCCTTGCTTCTACCTTGGTCTCATCCGTCGATGTTACCCACTTCTCCTCCAACCTTTCTCTATCGTCTGGCAGGGCAAGCCCAAATTTCCCCAAATTATTTCAACAATCTTAGTAATTTTTCTTATGGGTGAAATTTCCTTCATAAGGTTAGTAAGATAGATATGGTCTGTCATGGGTTGGTGAAATTTGGTGGTGGAGCTGTCATGGCTTTGGGAGAATGGAGTGAGGCGCGGTTGGTGGAGGTATGACAGTTTTGTTCTTAGTGAGAGAGAAGGTGGATGTTTGGAAACTGGTAAAAGAGAAATATGGTGTGTTTGGTTAGAAAGATAGTGAGAGTTTGGAAAGAGTTTTATTTGATTAGTGTTTTAAATTTAGTGGTTCATATTAGATAATTAATAACTTAGGTAGTGCCTAGTAACTTATGAAACCTCGTAATAGACGCTTAAATTACGATTTTATAATTTATAATATTGTTTTGCATACGATTTTTGAATGAAATGTATTATATTTAAATTTTCAATGTTATTTTAATCTATAAATTTTTTTATTTTTATAATTGAGATCTTCCGATTTTAAAATCCTAGATCTGCGTACAACTGTGAAAGAATCTGGTCGGCTGCAAATTGCACAGTAGCAGCTATATACCACATGGCTTTTAGGCTTATTAGCGGAAGACTGAAGCGGACCAACCGACGGAATCCAATTCCCAAGCGAATAACGTGTCGTTTGCTGCACCGAGACACCCGATGCGTCCCTCTCATAAGAAATTTTTCATTGTAATCCGAACACGAATCATCACGTATTTTTATATAAATGATGAAAATTTTTATTTTTTAACTTATTAATTTTTTGATATATATATTTTATTATTTATATAATGATACCACCGTGTATTTCAAACATACTGAAAATTCTCTTATCAGAATACTATTTCGTGGCAATGGTCTTGGTTCGAGTCAGCGAGACATACTGCTTTCCTGCTTTTAGAAATCGGGATCGGGTACCGCGCTGGCACACGGTTTCCCCCGACTCCCTCTGTTTGTCGGCCTGCCTGTTATCCCGTCAAAGTCCACGTGGGTCCCATCTCCCATGTGATGATGCCATGAAGTAGGAGAAGGGAGAGCAAAGCTTGTGGGACCCAAGCCACGGTCGCAACACACGTGGCAAGATTCCTGAAATACGGAATCGAATCGAAGGCTATCTGTATTTCGGATGGTTTTTCCCTTTCCCCTTAACTTTTCCTTAATTCTGCATTTTATGCATTCTCCAGCAGGTGAAAAAAAAAATCAGCAGCTTCAAACCGAATGATCGCTGAAAATTTCGGTTCTCGAAAGCCGAAATCCGGTTCGGTGAGCTGAGAGTTCGTCTCGGTTTTCGATTCGAGTTTTTCATGTGAAGTTCGGAACCCAGGTGAGCTGGTGCTGTTCTTCCTCGTTTAACTCACTAATTATTTACTTGTTTGTTTGTTTGTGCTTTCATATGTGTTGACGTTTGTCACATCGAAAACGCCGTGAAGTTAAATATCTATTTTTACTATTAATTACTATTAATTACGCATGCGCGTTTTGTATAAAACTCTGCATCTGTTGGATTGTCACAGGTGGCGGTAAAGTTGAGGTTAATATATCGATGTTGATTAGTAGTGGGTTACTAGACCGTCCCTGGAACTTTGCCAATAAATAATTTGTTGGATCATTTTTTCTGAAAATTTTATAAAAATTTCATTAGCGTTTGAAAGGAAGAGAACTTTATTTTCCTGTTGTAAGATTACTGTGAAGGAGACGATGGTTAGCCGTATAAATCGTTGTGTGGGAAATTAGTAGTTTATATAATTAAAATTATTTGAGATTTAGGTTCTGTCATTTTATGTATTAGTGTCGGATTTGTTGTCAAAGTTTCAGATTTGTTAATGGAAGACATGGCGCAAAACCGAGCGCAGTGGTGTTCAAAGATTCATACAGCCGACTTCACTTGGTTGTTGTCGTTGTATTTGTTGTCAAAGTTTCGGAGATGGTGTAGTGGACTACTTGTGGTGTGTGGGGTTTTATACAAAAGACCTTGATGCAATTAGTAGCGGAGCCATTCACTATAAGGGGAATTTAATTTCATTAGGGTTCCGATGTTGGACTTTACATGCTTCCGCAGTCTATACACTTAGTACGTGCTGCTACTAGTGTTCGTTAGTAAGAAGCTGCGCTCTGTTGGTAGCTTGTTGCAGTTCGTTTCAGTCCAAAAAATTGTAGTCATATAGTGATGTTAAGAAAGATATAAGATCTATGGTTTTTAGCTTGGAAGTAGATGATTAGGACAGTGAACCAGGGTTGTGCTTTTTACGTTAAATCCTCAGGGCTTGTTGCTTAAAATGGTTTGGAATTCGACGTATGGTAGCTTAATCGTGTTTTCTTTAGACTTGTTTGAGATTCCTTTCTGAAAGCTACGAGCTATCAGAGTTTCTATAAATCGGCATTTTACGCTTTTAAAATGTACCTCATAATTTAAGACAAAGAATGAATTTATCCGCAACAAGAAGTCAGAACAAATGTGAGGATCCTGCATCTTTTTCTTAGTGCACAAGTGATCAGAATCCTGAAACCATTAGCTTTTCCCTATTTGGCAACACGAAATGTGAATTATGATGTATTGTGCCTATTTATTTGATGTATATACTGAGTCCTGAAACCCGCTTGCTGCTTCTGTTGTAGATAGTGAAGCTGATTGAAGAGTATTTGTTACACTACTTGATGATCTGTCTGTCTATAGTTAGAAAGGCTGTACGAGATTAAGTTTGTGAATGATATCCTGGAGAGCTAAGTTGATTTTTATATGCTGTCATGGATTACTCTGTAAGGTAATAATTCTCAGGTTATATCTATGTCTTCTCTCCTTTCATTTATAACCAGGTTCTGTCAATAACATCTTTCATTGTTTATCTGTTGTGTAGCGAGAAAGCCTTCTCAAATAGAGATGTCTATGTTGGGAACTTTAAGGGAATTCTGCCTCATGGTGACGGTAAATACACTTGGTCTGATGGAACAGTATACGAGGGTGATTGGGAAGAAGGGAAAATGACAGGTAAAGGGAAGCTAATTTGGACATCAGGAGGACAATATGTCGGTGATTTCTCTGGCGGTTACCTTCATGGTGATGGCATTTTTAATGGACCTGATGGTTCTTTCTACCACGGTTCCTGGAGGATGAATATTCAGCACGGGATGGGAAAAAAACAGTATTGTAATTCAGATATCTATGAAGGATCTTGGAAGGAAGGAGTACAGGAAGGTAGTGGTAGGTATCTGTGGAGTAGTGGGAATACATATATTGGGAGTTGGAAAGGCGGGAAAATGTGTGGAAGAGGGGTCATGAAATGGGAAAATGGTGATCTGTACAATGGCTCTTGGTTAAATGGGTTAAGAAATGGGTCTGGAGTTTACAGGTTTGCTGATGGAGGATATTATTTTGGAACATGGTGTCGGGGCCTAAAGGATGGAAAGGGAACATTTTATCCAGTAGGAACTAAACATCCATCCCTAAAGAAGTGGTGCAGCTCTGTAGGATATAGCAGTGATGGATCAAGCTCGTTGTCGGGACATTTGCTAAATTCAATGGAAGGCAAGGCTAGACCAACTGTCAAGCGCAGTTTTTCAGAGAAAATATCTATTGGTGGAATTTTAAGAAATTCGAGGCGTATATCACACAAGGCTATGTCATTAGATAAAAATTGGACCCATAATGATCCTTCTAGAGAGTTCATACGTTATGACTCCTTATGCTCATTGTCCCAAGCCTCTGAGGATATTCAACATGAGACGCAAGATAATAACACTTCAGTTTATGAGAGAGAATACATGCAAGGGGTGCTGATTAAAGAGAGAGAGCGGAATCATACAGAGATATCCCGGAAAAATAAACAACGAAATAAAATTTCAATGAAACCAACGAGGTCATGCATTGACATGTTTGGAGCCCACAGAAGCTATTATCTAATGCTTAATTTGCAACTCGGTATCAGGTAAATCGGTTGACCACATCTTCGTAGTCTTAAATTCTAATACTACTATGTTCACAAAAGTGACGGTTTGATATTCAACATCTGGTTTGTATGTGTGTTCAATGTTTTTTATTTCATGCATATTCATGGCACTAAGCTCTCAATATTTTCTCTCAATACTTTACCTGACGTCTGCAAGTATCGAAATTAAAAATATTGACGTGGTAGAACATTGGATTGCATAAACCCTTGGCTTCCAGTAATTTGTCAACTGAAAATTACTCCACAGGTAGCTCGAATATGTCATACCTTTTCCTCTTTGGTTATAAATTGTTGCCGTCAGTAAGTTTTGGTCATTGTCATCATGGTGCAACATAACTCTAGTTGATCACCCTCAAAAAAGAAGAATAAAAAAGGTCCTTTAAGTTATATGAAATTTAGTTTTTGCCTTTTGTTAGTGTCATTTTTAGGCCTATATGAAATATACATTGTCACTTCGAACTATTTTTTTGCAAAGCATTGGAGGGATAAGTTTTGATTTGACTTCTTCGGATGCATGTGGATATATATATATATATGAAAATTCTATATGTCTGAACTCCTAAATCAAATCTCGGTTTAATTGGGTAGATCTATTTTCTGCCGAAGTCATTATTATTGTGATAGGAGTTTTCACACTTACTAGATTGTGTTTGAAGCTTACAGGTACACTGTTGGGAAGATCACACCAGTTCCTGTACGTGAAGTTCGATCTTCTGATTTTGGAGAACGAGCCAGAATAAGGATGTATTTTCCCAGAAGAGGTTCTCAGTTTACACCTCCGCATTATTCAGTTGATTTCTATTGGAAAGATTATTGCCCGATGGTCTTCAGGTAATAGTTGTCTTATCCACGTTCCCTAACCTCTGAAAGTGAGTGACATATGAGCACCATGCATTTGGATTGTTTGGTTTCTAATGAGTGCATATTTTTCTGCATATGTCTCAATGAATGGAAAATCTTAAACTCTGATTCGTTATCTTTCATCCATCGGAGCAGATAGAGTAAGGCTCTCAGTTTTTGTTTTGGTTTGATCCTCCCAACTTTGTGCTTTTGCCTTTTGGAAAAGAACCTAACATATGAACTTGAGATTTGAACATTTTGGCGATATAGATAAATAGTGTAAATTTGGTAAAATACGCATCTGTCGACTGCAACAGTTGTTCTCTTGGCATTTCTCTCTTTTTGAATGTCATATAACAACCTTCTGTGCTGCTCCTACTTTTTTTCTCGAGTGTCCATCAGCCACAGTTGATCACTTTTAAATTTATTTGAGTAAATTACTTTGATTTCTGGGGCTTATGAAAAAAAAAAGAAACTTCACACTATTTGTAAAATAACACTGGCCTTCTCCATCACAGTGGATTTTAGCAGAGCTTTTAATACTGGATTTATGCGCTTAAATAAGGTAAGTATGGGATGCTACCTCTACTTAATGATTCCCTGGCCTCTTAAGGTACCAAGTAGCCCTTATATCCAATTCCGATCTTGCTTGCAGACTTCCAGAATATAATAATTGTTGCGTGTTGGCTCAAGCTCTAATGGGTTAAGCGTTTCGTAATGTGCTTGTTATACCAGCATATTACATGGTGGGCCTCCATAATTGTGATAGTTCTGGAGAATCTGGAGATATGGAATTTCAAAAAATGACGCTGTTAAATGTATCAATTTGATTCATTTGTATGTTCAACTTAATATCTTGTTGAATTGGAGTCATATTCAAATATGTTCAAGTTTAATTGGAGTCATACATGTCTTTATCATATAGACATTGTATCCTTGCAAGTTTATGTTTCGGCTGTATCCTACGCAAATAAGCATATGGATCTCTTTCTGCCTAATCAAACTTTCGCATTTCAGGAATTTAAGGGAGATGTTTAAATTAGATGCTGCCGAGTACATGATGTCCATTTGTGGCGATGATGGTTTAAGAGAGCTTTCTTCTCCGGGGAAAAGTGGCAGTATCTTCTATCTTTCTCATGATGATAGATTTGTCATCAAGACTTTAAGAAAATCAGAACTGAAGGTTTGAACGCATGCAAACTTCTATGCTACACGCACAGACACACCATTTACTTATCTTATTAAATAAACTAAGTAGTTGGCTAATTCTCATTCACGCGCTCCATCTTTCTTTCGAAGGTAGCTTCTTAATTTCTTGGTTAATTTATGTTTACCAATTTTATAGGGCTTGTGTTGTAGAATCCTAGCTGAGTGATGGTTTTATCAGTGTTGCATTCATATGATATTTAATTACCCTTTATATTCCTTTTGCTTCTTACTTGAACAGAACGATCAATCAACTCCGAATGAGGACTTAGATTTTGCTTTTCCCTGTTTGTTTTATTTTTAGCTTCATGTTCGGCAACTAGCGCATTAGTCCAAGTTTGAGAAGGATGTTAAAATGAATTATGAATCATTTTCTTTTTCCCAATTCACATGCAGGTTCTGCTCAAGATGCTGCCTAGCTATTATTGCCATGTGGGAGAACATGAAAACACTCTCATCACAAAATTTTTTGGGCTCCATCGGATAACATTAAAAGGTGGAAAAAAGGTATCGAGCTACTTATCACTCTCCCAGATTGCAGTTCTGCATTGGATTTCACCTTGGTTGGTGTGACTTATTTTAAATGCATTGTTTTTAGGTACGGTTTATGGTCATGGGGAATATGTTTTGCACTGAATTAAGAATTCATCGCCGTTATGATTTGAAGGGTTCATCTATTGGAAGATGTACAGACAAAAATAAAATTAAAGAGAATACCACATTGAAAGATCTCGATCTGTCATTTGAATTTCACATGGACAAACTGTTGCGAGAAGCCCTTTTCAAGTAAGTCCTTCTGAGTTTTTATTGGTAGCGGGCTTTTGAATTTCAAAATAATGTTTTCAGAAAGGTATTTGTGATTACCTGTGAAATGTGCTTTTCATTGCTTAAGCATCCTTATGGAATAACTTATTTTTTTGGGTTACAATTTCTGGAATAACTTCATTGTTCGTAAGATTAATAAACATTTGCAATATAACATACTGGGTCCGAGGTGTAATCGTTAAAAACCACCTGCAAGAGTACCTATCAACCTTACACACTCTAATTCTCCAAATCTCCTGAGATATCTGATCTTAAATCTAGCTAAAGTTTTGCTATGGATACTTAAGATATTCTGGGGGGCTGGTGAGGGTTCCTCTATGTGGTACACTAAGATATATGTCCTGCATTAGTTTCTCCTTCCAGTCCTCTGCATCTGGTCTTTGGATTCTGACCTGTAAAGCTTGCCTTGAGGAAGAGCCAAGCCGGTTGAAGAGATACTTCAACCTCACCCCTAAATTTGTATCATGCTTCTTTCCCTTGTTGATTTGTAAGATTACAATGCCTGAAATCTTCAGTGGTTGATTAGTTTATTTGATTTCGATGTTGTATAGTGGGAGGGGTTCTTGCTCACTAGTTTGACTGAAGACGGGAATTGTAAAAAATGTTCCGAATGCTTTTGGTCAATTTAATAAGCTTCAAGTCGATTTTAGATTTCCAATCAAAATGGATTTGAGATATGAATTCACTTTTTTTTTATTCTTTATGTTTCTGCAATATACGCCGTTGTTTTCCTTATCGATTATGCATGCGCCCCAAAAAGATAATATTAATAAGAACTGGTTGAGTAAGCTCTTCCACATTTCAACGTCTTTAGGAATCTTTCCTCCTCTTTGTTTTGCAGGCAAATATCACTAGACTGCATGTTTCTACAATCTCAGCAGATTATCGATTATAGCCTTCTGTTGGGTCTACATTTTAGAGCTCCCGAGAATCTGAAGGGATTTTCACAACCTCCTGCTACAATGCACAATGATGAGAGTTTACCTACTAATGATGGTAGGCATCTCTTTCTGATTAAAAATACTTTTAAAGTGAACTTGTAACTGTTTTAGATATGTTCTGATATCTTGTCTATTTGGCGATGTGAATAGTTTTCCGATTAATGATTTCTTCCCCGGAAATAGTAATATCTAGTACAGTAAAATCGTACGCAGAATAAACTCAAAAAAAAGGACTGCAGGAAAAGAAAATCTGACCAATTAATGTCAACTCACCAAGTAGCCTAGTTCTTATTACAATTTAAAATTCAGGCCAACAGACTAGTACCTGTTAGGGATTTGGAACATCCTCAAACCACTAAGGGGGTGGAATGTGTATCATTACCATGTTATTGCCATCTGGCCGATTGTTGCCATTATTTTGTTGTTTTTGCGCTAGAAACCCGGTGTGAGACAGATTTCGGTGGATGCAGTTAAGGAACTTTCATAACTTCGAAATGAAACGCACTTGAACAACGAAGAAATGGAAAAGAAACATGATGAAAATGACATAGAATGGAACAATATTGTCTTTCCTTCTTGCCATGATTCTAAGACCAACGATTTCCTATGTCTCGCATTTTAAAGTATTGAATTTTTCAACTTATATTCAAATTTGAATAGGTGTGACTTCTCAAGGGGAGCTTTTGATTCCTCCTAAAGGTCTTCTGCTGGTAACCCATGAGCCTGGCTCTGTCAGTACCGCACCAGGTCCTCACATCAGAGGAAGTACATTGAAAGCTTATTCTCTCGGTGACAAAGAAGTCGATCTTCTAGTCCCTGGTACAGGAAGGTACTTCATACTTTTGCACTCTTATATATTTTGAAGTTTGACGCCATAAGCATTTGTATCTTCTGTTACCTTCTAATCAACTTTCATCTGATTTGGATGGTTATGCTTATGTGAGTAACTTGGGGCTCAAGTGCTTTTAAAATGACTGAAGTACTTCAAGTACTTCAAGTGCTTTTCCAAGATTCACTTGCATTTTTGCTAAGGATTGGTACCAAGAACATTTTCACCAAAAGCGCTTTCAGCCATTTTAAAAGCACTTCCAAATGAGCCCTTAGTAGCACATCAGCCCTGCAACGCTAATTAGACTGCCAAAAACAGAGAAATTCATAGCTTGAAAACCGTTCTTGGATTCAGCATTTCATTTATTTTCTGCGAGTCGTGCCAATTTATTGTTGGAGCACCACATCGTTACTGTCATTTGATTTTTTTCTCAGGTTAAGAGTGCAATTAGGTGTAAACATGCCAGCCCAGGCCTATCATAAGCTTGCGCAGGACGAGGTTGATTCAACAGAAGTAGAACTTTTTGAATTTTACGACGTGGTTCTTTATATGGGGATAATTGATATACTGCAGGAATACAACGCGAAGAAGAAACTTGAGCATGCTTACAAATCATTGCGGTTTGATCCTCAATGCATTTCTGCTGTGGAACCAAAGCTGTATGCTAAGCGTTTCATCAATTTCTTGGAGAAGGTTTTTCCGGACCTGCCATAACGTGTTCTTACCTTCTTTCGTGTTCATGCTCATTTCTCCGAGCAACACGCGATTCTTGTGTAGTCATTTGTAAAGTGTTGTGATCTAAGATTTCATTGTATGATATCTAGTTGTTTTAAGAATTAAAGTATACATCCGTTGTTGGCACAAGGTGGATAATGAGGCCAGTTGGGCATTTTCTTCTTATATGTGGTGTAAAGCATTGTATTTCGGGTACGTTGAAATTTCTCCTCAACCCCTCTAGACCCCAATTACTGAATGCTGATTAGCATTTTCATCTGGTTCATCTTGTGGAGATATTTTTAACGTGCCCAGAACGCAAGATTCTACGCCATATATTATTTTATACAATTGAAGGGAAGTGTCTTCTTTTTTTTTTTTTTTTTTTTTTTTTTTTTTCCTTTCTTTCTTCAAGTGTTCCTCTACTTGTATGATAACATATGGTGTATGTGCCATGTTCTGAACATCCCCTCTCCACTTGTATAATGACACGTGACGTATGTGCTCGTATTCCAGACGCATTGAAAAGTTGCTCCATTCTGTAAATGTTCCACCAAATTCAACTCTCAGATATTATTTTTTTATTTTTTATTATTGTGGTATTAATTGCTTACCAATGGGGAGAAATGGGAGGAATATATCAACATCAGTGACAACAACTCACTAATCAAGTTGATAATTAACACAAAGATTCCTCCATCAGGATTTAATTTATGGATAAAATATTTCGATTAATTTGGTTTCAAGTTGCTGGATTCCTCAATACTTGGTCAATCTACCAGCTTTTTTGTTATTAAAAAGAAAGGATGGTAAACTTTATTGATATCACTGATCAATATAAATTATAACTTTGGTCATGGAGAAGGACATCCCCTACGAAATAGGGGATTGGTAAGCTTATCTGCTACAATCAACATCTTTTGGAGACAAACTACATTATGACACGTGGTGTTCCGAACAGTGACATATCTCCCCCCACTTAGAATTGAGAGGGAAAGTGGTCAAATTTTTAAAAAGAAAACTAATAAAAATGATTTGAAAATTTTGAATTTTAATGATAAGGACAAAATAAAGAGTAAAATAAATAGTACCATAATTGACTTTATAGTGTAAAAATATGATTTTTCGTTCAAGTGAACAGTACCATAAACTTTTCATTAAAACTCCCATGTTTAAAAACCACAGACACTAACATAGGGGAATGCATTTCAACGAAACCATGAAAGGGAGATTGAAACCGCTCGTGTTCGAAAACAAAAACTCCACAACAAACAACATTGTAACTGGTTGCAGCAACTTTGACAATTGGGGAATTGATCACATTATAACACCAAAAACTGTATTGACCAAAAATATTTTTAGATTACAAGTACAGGCGCAGCAATCAAGTCCATGGACGGCCATAGTCAAAAGGAACCAAGCGGAGTTCCATAAAAAATAAACTATTTGGACCCGAATGCAAATGACAATTTTGGCCGGGATTTGTTCTTACCCAACAGTTTCATTTGATTCAACCGTGCTTCCTCCTCCTCTTGTTTCTTCCTTCGCAATGCCTCTTCTTTTTGTCTCTGGAGCTCTTCCAGTTCCCTGTATCGCTCCTCCTCCCTCCGCTGCTGCTCCAAAGCCTCCCTTCTTTGAGCTTCTTCCACTCTCCTCCGGTTCTCTTCAAGCATACCTTCCAGCTCTTCTTTCTCTTTTCGAGCTTGTTCCTGTAGGACACACAAACACACAATAACTTATTTTGATTTGTTCCAATAATATAGAGGGAGGACAAGCAGGTGCAGACTAAAATAACATCCCATCTGGAATTGTGATTGTTTAAAATAATTACAAAGCCGAGTAATGCAATGTCTAGGTCTTAGATGCTCCCCGCCCCTATGTCTAGGTCTTCCAGCACCAGCACCCCTTGCAGATGAAAAATACATACTTACGGTAATGATTTTCCATTATCTTAAAAACACCTATCCTGTGTACTTATACCATATCTGCTATTTTACTCTTTTTTTGCGTAAGCTGTGAACCATGTCACTTTCCCGAAGAACAATTGTTCCCAAAAGTAATAACTCAAAAGACGAATGGTAACAATAACGAAAAATATTTTCAAGAACACAGAAGATGTGCATCCAACAACCCCAAATGGTGAAAACACACGATGACTGATACGTGTGCCTCTGAAACAAGAGAAAATGAGAATGCCGGAGGCAACATGTTAGACTAAATATTACCTCCTTATGCCTAGCCTCAACCAGAGCTGCTTCCTTTTCTTTCTCAAGTTGCACTGCCACTTCAGTAAGAAGCTTCTTCCGTCCTACCTCCAACTGCCTCTGTATTTCCACTTTAATCTCATCGGAGTTTAAGCTCTCCTCAACTTTCCTACGAATTGCTTCTTCCACCCTTCTTGAAGTCTCTTCTTCTAGCAGTTTCAATTCTGCTTCTTGTTGCCGCCTGAGAGTACAAGCAAAAAAGTTAAGTAATAAAGTGGTCTCTCATATAAAGAGGGGAACTGCCGCCTGAGTACAAATAAAATTCCAATTCACATATACTGCTTCCTCTTTTTTACCCCTCCCCTTCTCTCTCGTCATTATCTGACTGAATAAATGGCAAACTAACCTTCATGAGGACAAAGGCACTATAGATACGCTTATGCTTTTAAGGCATACCTCTAATGTATCCTGATCCAAACAAATGAGTTTCAAAACTGGTGAACAGTAGATAAACGATGCACCCATTTTGATCATCAAATATAACAAGTTGAACTAAAGCAGTATCATCCTTCAGAAAAGCCTTTGGAGGAGAATGTCAAGTATACCTGCTGCATTTTTAAAACTAATTATCGTGTTACTTCAAATTTAAACTAAATGCATTCTTGACATGATATGATTACAGTTCTAAGGGCAGTGTGTCTTGAGTGTGATAAACACTAATGACGAGACATTGAAAAACAGTCACATGTCAGAAACGGCAGTTCAACACTGATGAAGACATACGGTTGCCACATGGCAGAATGGAGTACGATCAGAAGCCAACAAAGTCCAAATCTTAAGGAACAAGTTTAGTAAGGCCTTGTTTGATAGAGAGGACTAGCGTGGATAGGACCAGACACTATATTGAAGGCATTTTGAAGGGAGAAATGGATGACAACTTCCCTATTTTGTCCAAGTTGAAGACAACTCATGAAGAAAAATGTCCCTTATAATCCTACCATTTTTGTGGGACTGGTAGGGATAGTAACCTTCAACTTGGACAATATATGAAAGTTATCATCCATTTTTTCCTTCTAAGTGCCTTCAATGTAGTAAACCGTCCTATCCAAGCTAGTCCTCCCTAACGAGGCCTAAATGATTTGGTAAACAAAAGTTAACCAGGACTTTTCAGTCTACCCAACTGTTGCATGGCTCAGCTTCTTAGTTTAGGCACAACAGGTACTTCTAAAGAATCTCCAAACACTTAGGTCTATCATATGGTTGGTCTCGTACACCAAATGGACTGACTAGGTATCTCTGAATACTCCAAATATGAACTTATGCAGGAAGATGATAGTGTCCTGTAGAAGCATATGTCTGAACGAGTAACTGAAAGTAAATCAGCCGTGACCAATGATTTGTGGATGTGACGAGAGCCAGTGATTTATGAATGTGAAGAAAAGTATCATGTGTTGACAGGACACTGTGCTTTAAAATTTATAAAAGAGGAACTAAATCATATATATAGTTATAGTGCATTTATTCTTGATAAACCACTAAATTCTGTACAGATCTTATTGATTAGTTTTCACACAACCAGACCCCCTCAGCCCCATTGTAACCCCCATCTGCCTACAATTGTGTAGGGGAGCATGTACTCAACCCACCCCCGATGATCCTTAAAAGGCCCTTGACTGAATTACTTACCGTCATAAGAAGATTAACACTACTTAGAATCAGAATAGATGTATCTGGGAGCAGCTGCGTACAATCTGGAGTCTAACTAAATTTCGTATTATTGACTTCTGAAATAAACAAATAATTAGTGCATCTCAATTATGAATAAGTAAACAGCAGCCATCCTTATTTAATTTTCAGAGAAAGTACCATATAAAACTGAAATGTTAACAAACAAGCATGTGCCCCAAAGTTAGGCTAGGCTAATTCAAACATGAACAGGAGGTTCTTTCCCTAAAACTAATTACGCTACGGTTTTAATGAACAAAAAACAACAGTAAGCATCCAAAAATACTACATTAACTTTCAGGAGAGCTACTATTCATGTAGAAATCAAAACTATTAAATTTGAGGGTAGCAATGAAAACAATCCCACATTACATCTTAGCGCATAACTCAGGCAAAGAGTTAAAACTGTCAGTCTACTCTAAAGATGAGCTTAGAAAAAGGTTATAAAGAAAAATTATATCATAAAAAAACTGATGTTCCGTAATTGTTATACCTTTTCTTCTCTTCTTCTTCTTCCTTTCTCAATTTCTCAGTGGCATTTTTCTGGTCCAACAATCCAAGACTTGAACTAGAAGATTTACGAATAGGAGACAAGGAGGAGCTCCTACTTCTTTGCCTCTTATAGCGCCTCAATACTGGAGAACGACTTTTACGGCGTCTTGGGGTTGGAGAACGACTTTTACGACGTCTTGGGGTAGGAGAACGACTTTTACGTCGTCTTGGAGTCGGAGAACGACTTCTTCGACGCTTAGGGGTAATTGAACGACTTTTCCGTCTGTATAGTAAAAACATACCGATTATCAACGACAATTGAAATTGCACATGACTACACATAATCAATAACTATCAAGTCAGTCCACCATGTAGCACAAAGTATATAGAAACATGTACGGTTACCTCATACATTGTTAAGTATAACCTTTGTGTGCTCCATCTTTTATCACATGAAGAAGCAAAGGTCACAATCGAGCAACAAAAGAACAGCCAACGACAACCATCACCTGCTCACTTCCCTTTTGACGGGAAGAATCTGAATTCTTTTAAATTCTTAGGAAGAGCATGCAACCTTATATCACTCTGGAAACTCTATATTTTAATCCATATCTTCATACTAGAATCTTATCCAATTATTTAGAAGGATCAAAAAAAATTTTTTTTTTTCTTTCCAAAGGTCACATATCCATCAATGCTATATCGAAACTAAGCCAATCATCAGATTTTATAACAACATCAGCAATTCTTTGGCATTGGCTTGACAGCAACAAAGCCTAAGGTGTACAAACCACAACTGTAGTTGAAGATCGGAAAAGAAAACTCAGAACATCAAATGTCAAAGCATACCAAATTTAGGCAATGGAACTACCAATTCCTGTCAACTTGAAGGTTTGAAGCCAAAAAGTCAAATATTAGCAATTAGCATACAGAATTTCAACTCGAAGCGATATAGAATGCCCCATTTAGCTGTGACACCAACATCAACATAGTAGGTACCAGGTAAACTTCAAAGCACATATTCATTTTCTATAAGAAAAACATTTACAAGACTTCACAATTGGAAAATGTACCACCAGATCTAAAAAGAAGGATAAGAAGATGCGTACAGAAACTCGAACATTATGTAAATCCAAATCCCATGAGCGATATGTAATGCCTCAATCTTTCCAACAATTGATTGAGAATCAGTTAAATTAGCACAAGAAAGGGGGAATATTAACGGGATCACCTGCTATGAGAATACGAGGAATATGGAGACCGGCTTCTGTCTCTGCGGCTTCTCCTGCTAGACCGATGCCCCACTGGAGATGGCGAATGCCTTCGCCTATAAGAAGGTGATCGTGATTGTGACCGTGCCAAGTCACGAGGCATCCTTCCGCCTCAACTTTAAGCCTACTGGGAATATTTCTTAGAATGGAACTTGAACACTAACAACAATTTGTGCTACTGTGCCCTATAAAACCAAAATAAATCAATCATTAACGGTTCGTTTGCAGCTGGGAAACTGTCAAAGATCAATTAAGCAATACCAAAAACAACAACAATGATCCTTAACGGGTTCGTATTCAGCTGAGAAACTGTCACAAAAGACAATAAAATGAATATACAAAATTTGTCATGTAAACAATTAAGCAGAACATTGAAAATACAACAAATTAAAATAATAAAACACAAAAAAAAAAAATCCAAATGAATAAGCATAAAATAAAACAACGGTGTCTGATTTGAGGCCTAATTAGGAACTGATTAATCAGCGGAGAACAATCTATATACAAATTCATATATAAAAATTGAAGAATTTACTGACAATTAATCGCCGAGAAACTGCAAAGATAATCAAAATTTAGCATCAATCGCGCAATAAGCATCCCCAAAATAAAATAAAAATAAAAAATTGAAAAATATACCTGTGAAGCACAGAGCAGAGCAGATGGGGTACCTACGGCAAGAGAACAATCAGGGAGATCGGAAACCGCCCAACGCCGCCTTGACCAAAACCCTAATTCCTAACAGAGAGTAATTTGGTGCGACAGACGGACAGAGATTATGATTAATTTGGGTATTTTGATAAGACATATGGGCTTTGAATGAAAATACGAAAGACGAAGAGGGCCTTTTTCGTATTTTCACAAATGAAAAATAATATCAAATAAAATAATAAAACATGACAAACCCAAAGCCCCTGCGCACCAACAACTCCTAAATACAACCCCGCCGCACCACTGACACCCCAAAAATTCCAACCCAGCCCCGCCGCAGCAACACCCAGGGTCCCACTCCGGTCGCCAACCATCGCAGCACCACCACCACCCGAAACCGCCCCACCTCCACCACCCCTCTAACCTTCCCTCTACACGGTCTCTCTCTATATCCGAAAGCTCGAAAGTTTTCAGTGATGGGGAAGCCAGGTTCACGGTAAGACCTTACCTCCATGGCGCACAACACAAGCCTCTCTCTCTCTCTCTCTCTCTCTCTCTCTCTCTCTCTTCTGAGTTTTTAATATTTGCGTGCAGCTCAGAATCTTCGACCAACGCAGACCGCAAGTTCGAAAAGAAGCTCGAATTTTATGCCAGTAAGTTTGGATCTTCGCTTCACTTTTACCTTAATTGTACTCTGTGTCTCTTGGAAAGGAATCATATGAGTAATCTCGATACTGGTTTTCATCTCCGATTAGTTTCTCCCCGAAAAATGACTGCTTTTCGATGTATAGCTTTTCCGAAAATTAATTTTCTGAATGAACAATGCAGAGGTTAGAGATGCAGTTTCTTCCTTGGGTGCTCAGAAGGCTATTGTTAAGGTGAGGATCTCTAATTCATCGACTTTCCTTCTGTTATTCAATACCAGTACTTTACCGGCATTCTGTGTAGCGGAATTTTTTGTGTTGCATAACTTTTCTTGGTAGTATAGGGTATGTCGTTTGACGAGGCGATATTGGAGGAGGTCTGTAATGTCTCTTGGTATATGATGTCTTGGAGTTTTTAGACTTCAGAACCATTAATTGAGGGTGACCGTGATAACATTTTGTATTCATGGTTTTCCGGTTGGTTGTTTGGAGCTCATTTTTAGGTATTGATGGCTTGCCTGTCGTATTCTGAGTCGGACTTTGAGCCCATGTTTGATGTGGAGGATTAGACTAGGCTCGCCAAATGACTGGATTTTATGTGCAATCAAGGAAGACTATGAATGTTGGAGGATTAAAATGAAGTAATCGTAAGAGGTTGATGTATTTCCTTGATTGCACATGAAAAATCTAGTCATTTGGCTACTCAAGTGTAGTCCCCCATATCAAACGTGGTCCTAGAAGTACATGTTTTGTTGTAGTTATTGTTATTGTTTGTGAGAGGAAGAGAAGATGTGAGCTATAAACACTTAAGGATTTTAGAGTGGAGCAGAAATTGTTATAACCAGTTGACGACGACTCTGGGTGGGGGTGTGGGGTGATCAAGATCGTTGAATGAAACAGAATAAATAGCTACACCATGAAAATAGACATGGGATTTTTTATTAAGCAAATGCCTCATGGAAGATTGGCACAAATTTTCAGGAGTTACTTAAGTTCCTTGCAGGTTTGGAGGGAGAGAGACAGTAATCACAGAGGCATCATATATCAAAACCTGGGTTCTGGGAGGTTTAAAACTGCCTAATCTGTTAGATTGAGCTACTGTTGGCCTCCCAACTCATGGAACCTATGTGATTTACATTCCTATTTGTAGTGGATGGAAAAAATATAGTTATAACATTTTTGAACAATCAAGGATTTATGAGAGGGGATTAGTGCCAGGGACCCTTCCGAGCTCTCTTTGGATAGAAAGGGTGACCACCCATTTGGTGACAACGCATGGCAAGTTGTGAGAGAGCATCCTTACACCATCTATTGAAACCCTAAGCTAGGCTGTTTCATAAGAACGGACAAGTCTTGTGCATGGAGGAATAGAGATCGCTGATTACGAGAAAGGGGAGGCATTGTTGTTTGGGATGAAAAACAAATAGCGTTGGAGGTTGGGAATGAAGTAGCAGATTCAACAATAAAAAAGAAACCAGAAGAAACATGAATTAGAGAAATGGGGTCTTTGATTTAGTTTCCTGGGATATTTAAAGTCAAGTACGGACTGCGAAATGTGGCTAGGCAAGGAATAATAGGATGTTAGTGTTGCCTTCTTTTAGCATACAAAGATGTTGAGTTCATTGGCTTCAAATTGGACACAACATGGAAAGCCAATATCGAGTCCATTCTTAGGGCTTATTAAGAGATCAAACTTGTCCAAACCTTCAACTTGTGTAAACAAATGAGAGACTGCCCCCCTTTCAACTTAAGATTATTTCTAACCTCTCAGCAGGGTTTCTAGTTTCCACCACTAGAAAAAGAGGCCTATACGAGGAATTAAATACGTCTTCAAGAAAGATGTAGACATTTTATGCAGTTATTTGCTCTACATGAAATTGGGGTCGCTTAAGGAAGGAAAAATGCAAGACCAGTAAAAATTTATCACTACAGTGAAGTTCTTGAAATTCTGGATTTTTTTTTTTCTTCAAATACTTCCCCAGCCCAGACAAAATGCTATATCAAGCCTTCCACTTGACATTCTTTCCACTGCGATAACATTAACTTTTGGATTTTGTTATTCATCATGTTACTGATATTACTTGAACAAATCATTACGTTGTAGTGTTTTTTCACTGTCCGTTGTATGTTAATGAGTTAACTTTATCTTCTACCAGAAGAAGAAACTACGTAGCCGACAGAAGAAACTGAAAGCGTATGATCTCTCTTCTTTCTCAGAATTCCTTCCTGAGCTGAAAGAGAAGCAATCCACTGCTGCTTCGGAGTTCAAGATAAATTGTAAATCCAAGAAAAAGCTAGTGTAAGTCATCCAGTTCTGCGATTCTAAACACGGTTGCAATCTTTACCTTTCATTTTCACATTGTCCTATGGAATTTCAGTAAAGTAATAGTGGATTTCATTTTCATCAGATTGAAGGAAGGAAAGCAGTTGACTACAGTTCTTAATCATCCCACTTTCAAGTCGAATCCCTTGGCTGCCATTCATCAACACTTACAGAGTACTCAGCCAGTCGAAGATGTCAAACCGGAGAAAAGGAAAAACAAAAGTGGAAGCAAGAAGAGGAAAGAAAAGAAATCTAAGGCATCAGCCGGACCCCAAGCTATGGATATGTGAGTCAATATACAGACCCTCATCTATCTACCTTGCTGACTCGGTTTTGTTCATATATCATCGTGAATGTTCCAATGCTCAAACTTTAAATTTGCAATTTTGTTAGTCTCACTGGAACTTGTAACAGATTATATTTCAACAAAACAATCTGAATGCAGTATGTTAGGAAATTTTGAGCTCAAAAGAATGTTAATTGTGACCATGCATTTATCGGCGTATACTGTTTTACTCACGGACGAGTCAATAAAACTGTCTTTGGACGCGCCGGGAGAGATCTTCGTGTGACATAAGATATACTGTCAGGTTTCAAGTACCATCTTGAAATTGGTTTATGGAAATGGTGTGCTAAATTTTGCCTAGCTGTTTGTTTACCAGCCAATGAGATTATTGTATATCTTGTGTGTTTAGAAAAGAAAAAAAAAAACAAACAAAACAAAAAAAAGAAAGTGCTTCTTTTTCCCCAGCTGGCCAATTCAGGATTCAGGCTGATTATTTTAAACTGAGGGTGGTGCTATCCACGTAATCAAGATCATTTTTGGATTTCGCAATCTGGAGTCTGACAATACAAAGAAATCGGACCACTCATTTAGATCCTACGGTTTTTATTAGCCTATTTACCGGCTCATCTTACATAAATCAAGAGTTCATATTTCTCTCTCTCTCTCTCTCTCTCTTGAACAGTCGGTATTCTCTGGTTTATCGACTTTGGACTACGAGATCTAAATTCCTACCCACATTTTACGTTTTACTCACTTCTTTCAATTTTCGATTTTCGTTAAAATTAATTGAATGCTGAAATGAAAGCAATTGGTGTGGGCAAAAAAGAAATAAAGTAATTTAGGCTAACGGTACAATTTTTCTTCAGCCCTACTCAATTATTGATGTCCAAAGTAGTCAACAATGAACAACAATCCACCATCAACAGGCTACCCACTTTTGTTTTCTTCTCCTTCTCCAAATAAGAATTAAAATAAGTGCCACAGATAAACGAGAACAATTTACATAAACGGTTTACCATAACTATGGCATTCCGATTCAATAATGTCATGTTATGGGTAAGTTTTTCTTCATATGACGTAATACTATACAATTAAAACACTACATAAACAGTGAACTCGTTTCATGCAAATTGCTCTTCGAACAAAAACTTTCGTCTTCGAAAGGTTTGTTCCTTTATGCCATGATCTTTTTCTCACCGTCTGCTCAAGTTAGAATCAGCCTCCCCGCAAAATAAATTACAGCAGTTTTAGATATCGTTTCGCAAAAGAAAAAATAAATAATACAGGAATTTATATGTGGTGGATCTGATTCATGCATCCTGAACAAAAATACAATTCCAGAAGGTAATTTATTCTCAAATGTATTTTGTTTTGTAGAAGATTAAGCAAATACAAAGGCAGTAATTATACTTAGAATCTAATTAACACATGATTAATCAAGAAGGGTGAACCTTCTTGGTAGAAATGCCCTTCCAAGCCGATTTCATGGAAGCAGTAGCGGAGTTGAGTGCAGCCTCAATGTACCTCTTGGAAGCAACAGTTGCTGCATTTTCCATCAACTTCCCCATCCTCCTAGCCCCTTCCGCCGTCGCAACCAGGCTGTCCATTTCCTCTTTCGACATGCGTTCCATCTCCTCCTCGAAGCGTCGGAACTCGTCCATGGCGCTCTCCATCACCGAGTCCATGTAGTCCTCGGCTTCCTGCATGGCAGTCTCGGCTTCTTCCACCTCCTGTTGCTGTTCGAGCTCGACCGCGGCCCACGATCTGTAGGCTTCGATCTCGAACAGCTTCATGAGGTCCTCGATCGTGGCGGGGTCGAAGGACTCGTCTTGCAAGGCTTGGTTGGAGAGGAAGCTGAATTGAGCAATGAGATCTTCCATGTTGTTGGATAACTTCTTGTTGGTGATTTGGTGTTGTGGGAGAAAGAATAGATCTAGCTTTAAGATTATGCCAAACCTAAACTGTGGGTAAAAAGTAGATGGGGTACGAAGGAACCTTCAACTTTATGTAATGGATTCATGGACTCATGGTGGGGATAGAATTTTGCCAAATGGTCACGTGCATGATGACACAAGCATGGCCAAAATAGTCCGTTGAAGAAGGGCGAGGATTGTCTGTTCTCCCATTTTCGATGCGCCCTCCTGTTTTGTGTGGTCACGGTTAAGCCACGTCAACATTTTATATTATTTTTTTAGAGATAATGAGACAAAAAAGAATAGTAATATAAAATGTAGACGTGGCTTAACCGTAATCACACAAACATGAGGGCATGGGAGGGCATCGGAAGTGGGAGGGCAAACAATCATTGTCCGTTGAAGAAAAGGTGAAGGATGGGAGATCGAATCTTCAACACTCATTTTGTGTGTGGTTTCTGATATTGATTGATATGTATTAAGTTTATAACAATAAAGTTAAAAAAGATTAAATTTATTAACACGTATTAATGAATAATAGATATCACATAAATGCTACATGCAAAATGGATGCAAAAGATTTGAACTCAAAAGATATAGGAGGGGATTATCACACGCTCTGATTGTAATCAAACAAAAACAAAGGTCAAGACTAAATAAGAGTGTGTATTTATTATTTTTGTAAAGAATACTAATGAGCTCTTTAGAGCGTATCTAATGTGTTGGGCAAGAGTTGGAGGCTAGAGGCCGCTCAAAAATGATGATATAGCCTATCGATATCGAGTGGTGAAGGGCTAGTGGCTAGGATTCTATATGTTAAGTGGGTTTCAGGGTGCTCAATGCTTGGGCTGAGCCTAATTTGAGCTCGTAAGGTGCCTAGGCTTCAATTTGAATCGGCAAATTTTACTCAGCTAGAAGTTATTTTTCCAATTTTGAGGCTAGGTTATCAATTTGCCTAGGCCATAAGGCTTCCATTAAATATGCTCTTACATGAAGTCATTCTTGTGTATGTTACAATTTGGCATAAATATAAATTAAATATATTAAATTGTGATTTGTCTTCCTCATTGAAAATTCTCCATCCAAATTCGTCAAGTGATGAATTTCTTATCGGATAATAGTGATCTAAAATATGTTAATTTTAATACATCTTATTTTTCATTTATGTGAGTTGAATCTAATAGCTTTTTAGATACAAATTTGCCTTCTCTGTTTATATATATAGATACTAGTGGTATTCCTCTTCACAAGAAAGTGAGAAGTTTTAGGTTCGATTCTTGCAAAAGGTGAATTTGAACCACATTATTGCTAACCTATTGTGAGGCTAAGCCCACCCCTCTCTTTTGTGTAGATAATATCGATTGTTAAAAATAAAAAATAAAGAGTAAATTGTAGTAATGGTCCCTTAACTTTAACTCAATTGGAGTAATGGTCCCTCAACTAAAAAACTATTACCATTGGTCCCTCAACTTTAATTCAACTGAGTTTTTAGTATTAACAGAATTTATGGAATTATGTTATGTTCTATGGGATGCACATGTACGCGTATTATTATTGATGCCTTAATTGGATTTACGGTCATGAATAGTATTGCATTGACTAGAATTATCGAATTATCGATTTACCATTATATGATTATAATTATGTTATCTGCTCATCGTGTGCTACATTGGTGTTTATACCCGTCCGGGTTAGGGCCAGGCTTCACATGTATGTTCACGTCGCATCATACCCTCACTTTGGATCCATTGTAGGTGTCAGTCATGTCCTAGACGGCTATGGGCAATTAGGACTCGTATGTAACGTGCATAGCACCAGTCTTCCCGTGATTGTAGTACTAAAGCGTAAATCATTATTACACCCAATCCTATTCATGTCAGAATACCTCTGCATGAACTCGTGTGTCAGCATATGTCGATGAGCACCCGATATTATATGTTCGTTCATTCAAGTTATGGTGATTACCGATGGTCATGTGTTTTATATGCTAAATATCATGAATTGTTGCATTATGGTAATATTACTATTTATGATAAACGTTTTCATAGTATATGTAGTATATATATTTGGAAACCATACTTATTTTACGACAAAGGGTTACTACATTTTCGAAAAGGTTTTACAAGCTTTATTTTTAGGCTCACTTACTCTTGTTTTTTGCCCCTCTAGGTTTTTAGTGGCTGAGCTTTCGTGTCGACGAGGATTCTTGACAAATCTTGGTTTAGGAGTTTACCTTCAATGGTAGAATTCTCATTCTACTTTACTATACTTTACTTATGCTTTGACATCACGTGTGAAATGGATTCATTCTCTCTCACATGCGCACTCTTGCATTTAGGCACTTTTAGGTTTAAATTTATTTATATTTTCCACATCACAACACTATATGGCTTCGTCACCTTTCTGGTGTCGGCCAGCATAACTCGATTCAGAGTCCAAGTGGACATTTCGGGTTGGGGTTGTCACCCAAAACATTGTTAAAATTGGGTTCCACCCTTAAGAATATCAATGGAATGTCTAACCTTAGTTTTCAAAACTTCACAATGGGGCTAAAATGAAAATGAATAGATTGGATGTACGAATTTGCAAAACGGACTAAAAACGTGAGTGTGAACCCACGTTTTCTGTCAAAAATGCAAATTTTTTATTTTCGCGAAACAGCTTCCATGAGCATAATGGAAAACTTCGTAAGACATGTGGAAGTGGATTTACAAAGTATTGAGCAACAAATGTATATCTAGTAGAATATTTAAGTTTAAAACTAAAAAAAAAAAGGTGAAAAATATAGTAGTGAGACCCAAAAATAGGGTTCTACCCTCAAGAATTTTAACGGAAAGTCTTACCTTAATTTTCAAAACTTCACGTGAGGCAAAGGCGAAAATAAATAGATTGAACGATGATTTAAATACGACTGGGCGAGGATTGGTAGCGTGGTACCGATCTTTCCCAATTCCCTTTTTTTTATTTATTTTCTGCTTTTTTGTTTATTCCTTTGAGTTTTTTCTTCGTACATTACTTTATCTAAGTAACCACCATTAAATTCAAATATCTTTAAATTTAGGTTTTCAATCATTGATTACAAGTGTTTAAATATGTATGATAATAGATTTTGCATGAAAAAATATATTTTGAAGAATATGAGTTTGATAGTTTGTTGTTATGGTAAGAGAATTAAATCAAACATAAGCAAAAACCAAAAACTAAAAAGAAAAAATTGAAAAGAGAGGTTCGGTATGAGTTTAGCAATTCTTTTCAGGTACTGTTGCTAAGACGCTAGCGATAGTTCCTCTTTACAATCGGTATCGAATTACTGATCGTATCCTTTTCTATTTCATTTATTTATTTGGAAGCAAGTTTACGATTTATTGAGCAACAAATGTATATTTAGTAGACTATTTAAGTCAAAGACTAAAAAGATAAGTTAAAAATATAGTAGGGAGGCCCAAAACATTGTTAAAATGGCGTTCCACCCTCAAGAATATAACAAAAAGTATTATTATAATCTTCAAACTTCATGGTGAGGTGAAGGTGAAAAATTAACAACGATTTATGTACGAAGTTGTAGAAACTGACTAAAAACCGTTTTTTGTCAAAACTGCAATATTTTTATTTTCACGAAATATTTCAATGACCATTAAGGAAAATTTTATAAGGCATTTGGAAGCGGATTTACGATTTATTGAGCAACAAATGTATATTCGATAGAGTATCTATGTGGAAAACTAAAAAAATAAGTGAAAATTATAATAGTGAGGCCGAAAACATTGTTAAAATACGGTTCCACCCTCAAGAATATTAATAGAAAGTATTAATTTAATTTTCAAATTTCACGGTGAGGTGAAGGTGAAAATAAATAGTTCGAATGGCGATTTATATACGAATTTGTAAAAACCGACTAAAAACCATCAGTGTTGACCCACGTTTTTTGTAACATCCCACATCACCCAGGGGAGTGAATTATGTAAGCTTTATATGTATATTCTCACCTCTACCTAGCACAAGGCCTTTTGGGAGCTCATTGGCTTCGGGTTCCGTAGGAACTCTAAAGTTAAGCGAGTTCGCGCGAAAGCAATCCTAGGATAGGTGATCCACTGGGAAGTTCTCTTGTGAGTTCCTAGAAACAAAACCGTGAGGGCGTGGTCGGGGCCCAAAGTGGACAATATCATGCCATGGTAGAGTCAAGCCCAGGATGTGGTAGGGGCCCGGGCCAGGGCCGCCCCGATTCATCGGAAAATTTCACTATTTTTAAAAATTCTCAGAAAATACAAAAATGAAGATCTCAAAGAGTAGAGAAAACTTTATACATGTGGCCAAGTCCAATTTGGCTAGGAAAAGCTCCAATTTCACCAAAATGTGTCGAAAACCCTAGAATAGGTGTGCTTCGATCCGTCGCCTTGGGTAGTCCGCCGCCCCTATAGTTTTTTAGGCTTTGTTCTAGGCCTCAAGGGAAGTCTAGCAATGGTGGTAATTGGAGGGAAACCTTTCATAATTGTTAGAATTCGAGCAAGGGTTCCCGCGGCATCCATGGTGCGGGTTCCCAAATTCCAAGACCAATTCCACTCCAATTTGGGCTGGAATAGGTAGAAGGGATGATGAGAGATGACTTCCAAGTGGTGGGGGACCTTCATCTCACCGAAAATTGGCTAGGAGACCATGAATCTCGTCGGTTGTGTCTCACGGGTCAAAAGACCCGTTCACCCCCTACCTTTTTTTTTTTTTTTTCCTCTCTTTTCCCTCCTTTCTGTCTCCTTCCATTGATCCCAGTCTCTCCCTTATCTCTCCTTTCCTTTCAATCATAGCCACAAACGTGGCACTCCCTTTTATTCCAGATTTTCTGGAATCTTCTCATTAATGTCAAAATGACTATTTTACCCTTAACTTCTATCGTTAATAACTTCTTCATTATAACTCCATTTTACCAACGGTTTGCGCCTACGCGTTCGTGAGTTCAAGCCCTATTCAAAAATATAAATTGTGGCTTGAAAAGGTCTACAGATTTTAAATAGTTCATTTCCAAACTTTAAATCTCGTAAGCCGTTTAATTTAAAACTGAACTCAAATAAATTAATATAAATTCCCGAAAAATAATATAAACTCTCAATACCATGAATACGTATATTATAA